TGAAGTTTCTCTTAAAATTCAAGAAAATAAGCCCTATATTATTGATGTCAAGGACTGGACCAAACATTATCCCATGAGCATTCTTGTCACCAAACTACCGGTTGTTGGAACACGAAAGCAAAATTATCCAGAAATTAAAAAAATTCTTCAATTCAATAAACAAGATCATCTAGATATTCACCTGTATGTTATATCAAGAATTAGGGATTCTAATATTTACTAAATTTGATGGTTAATTCTTAATTAATTTTGAATCACAAACTTTCAGTTTTTTGGATCACGAGCTTCCAACTTTTTAATTCCAAGAACTTGATACTCCGAACCTCCAAGTCTTCTATGGTATTCTCCAAAGTTAAGACTACACCGATGGGTGTGTACCTTCTTTTAAATAAATCGAGAAACTAATTCTTGGACTAAACATATGAAAAAAGATATTTTTATATCCATCAAGTCTCTATTTATGGAGATAAAGATATTCAAATCCATGTATAATAATAATTCTAATTTCAAATGGAAGTCTTAATTAAAATTCAAATATGAGTTTTAATTTAAGTCCACGTCCTATTAATTTACATTTAATTATATGTGTAGTCCTAAAACTTCAATTATAATTACAATTAATTTTACAACTTTCATAGTAATTACAATTAAGTACAAAATTTTATTATAATTACAATTAAGCCCAAAATTTTTATTATAATTATAATTAAGTTCCAATACTTTATAGAACTATCACAGGACCTGATCATCCATACATTATCCTAACTATAATAATTAGATCATGTCTAGTTCGATCCTAAACCATACAATCTAATTATTAGTTTTTGTTTTGTTTTTTTCACTAAGAGACAAAAGACTACACTCTCGGAACATATAAGATCACATAATCCAATAAATCTGTAATATTTTCCTCTGACCTATCGTATATGTATTTTATCCTCATCCGAAATTCGATAATTAGGTACAAGCATAAATGATAGTTTTACCCTTCTCATTATTCTCGGTAACTTAAATACAATTTTCTTCAACGGTCCGGTGAACTAATCACAGATGTCGAAATTTACCCGTCGCTAAACAGTGAGCTCTAATTTTAACTGTTCAACAAAAAATATTTAAGCAATCACTCTACTCATCTTTCAAAGCGATTGTTCTCAACACGAATTCATGTTCTCTATTTCGTTCATTCTTAAGTTCCCAACTCACTAAGATATTTGACAAATCAAATTGATCTCATCCATTGGTGAATCAAAGAACCATTAAAATCACGAAAAGATATATATAACTTTGTCAAGGGATTTAGATGAAATATACATCGATCAAGTGGAATTTAATTCTCTGTACGGTTATGCTATAAAATTAAACTCGACACATGATCTGTTCAATACACTCCAAAAGTATTAGTGCCACATTCAACTATTTCTATGATAAGGACAAATCACAAACTCGAAAATGAATCGATCAACACTACAACCTTCCAGTACAAGGTGTCAACCCTTATATATTGACTGTGAATAAATTATTTATGATCAAAATATATGTTGTGTCACACTGTACTTCTTAACATAAGTACACAACTTATATTATCACGAGTGATCATAAGCACTTTAATTCGTATGCTCAATGATAAATAAATAAATAAAATCAAAATTTATTTATTATAAATTATTATTTTATAGTAGTGAAATATACTGTTACACTTATAAATTACGTGACGTCGACTATTCATTGGATTAAGCTTATTAAACTAAACAATTTGCATCTTGGGTTACCCACGTGAACCATTTACGTTTTCCTACATACATGTGATTTCATTTACAGCCAATGTATATTCTCGAACCCTATCCAAATCCCCTCTCTCTCTAACACTCTCTTTCTCGTCCGGCCGTTGACTTGGCCGTCAGAGTGCTAACGGTCGCCGAACTTTTTTCTCAACCGTTGGCCTTTGCCTCTTAACGGGGTGTTCCAATCTACAGGAGATGTCCACGTGGAAAGGGAGTAGACATGGATTATGTTGGAGCATTTTTTTCGGTCGACGATTGGTGCCGTCTGTGAGAACGATATGTCAACCATCTTTCCACAACGTCCAAAAAGCCATCGGAAAATATGGTCTTTCGAGCAGTTACATCCACCAAAATAGAAAAGACAGCAATCGAAAAAAAGGATTTTGCCAAGCAGTTTCCTTCCACCAAAAATTGAAGAAGTCAGCCACATTAAAGAAAACATTGCTATTGGAAAGGGTGATTAGCAAAACATAAAGAATCGGTCATAAAATTGAAAAAGGGATGGGGCCATTAGTACTTTTGGTGGTGGAGCACTTAACAAAAAAAAAAAAAATCCTAGTGGTAAACATCAAACAACTACAGGCAAAAAATGCATTTTTCCTTTCTTCTTTGAGAAGGCAGGGGAAGCCTAGCAAATATAAGGCTTTGAATCGCAAAAGCTAGGCCATCAGAAAATCAAAGGAGAAACTTCTAAAAAGCAGCAGCGAGATCATGCTCTGGAGCAAATTGTGCTCTTCCGTCTTAAAGACATCACATAACTTGCCTAGTTGAAATGCAAAATAGAGAAGACTTCTTTTAATGTGTTGCGAGATGCGAAATTTAGGTTTGCACTCCAGCTAGTCCGGTTGAGATGTCGAGCTGTTGATGCATCACTTTAATCTCCGGTGTTCCTCATTCAAGCAGCCATTTCATTCTCCGGCCTCAAACAACGCCAAGCGGCATTCACCATCTCCGGCAAAGGCCGCTAAGCACCCCGCGACCATAGTAACCGTCGGTCCATGGTCTGGCTTTGATCCTTTGTATCAACATTAATTTTGATGGAGGCAGGTTGCCAATTCAAATAGTCCTTTTTTGCTGTCAAAGTAGACTTTTAACTCAATTTCATCCACTCAAACAAATTGCAAACGGTACAAGTTAGTTTGGGACTATTTGAACTTGAGCCAAAGGTTTATGCACAGTGTCCCAATGAATAATTTGGGCTCACTAGATATTTCTATTTGCTGGTACATGCTATTTTTATTGAGGAAATTAGACTATATATCCTAAATATAGGATCATTTTGAAAAATCATGTGAAAAGTAATTAAAAAGTATAAAATACTGCATTTTTACATTAATTTTAGCTGATCAACAAACTAAATCCTAATTATTTCCCACTTTCCTCTATTTCTCTCTCTACTGTCCCTCTATCTTCATCCTGTTGGGAATTTACTTAATTATGCACAGCGGAAATAAAATAATTTATTAATTTAGAAAGAATTTTTTTAAGTTTATATTTAATACTTAATTTTATCACTCCCAAAAACTATTTATTCTTTTTACTTATCTTTTATTTTAATTAGTTTCCGTCCAAATCTTTATATTATTTTCCTTTAGTATAAATTGAAATACTTTGAATTCTTTTAATTATAGAGAGTAAATTTGACTCCTTAAATTGAGAAAACTAAATTAATTTAAAATTTTAAAAAGTTTTTTAAAACATAATTTTAAGAATTGACTCTTTAAAATAGAAATCATCTTATATTTAAATATTTTTTGAAGATACTCTTACGCACAACACGAAATATAATGATTAGAGATTCATTTGATAAGACTTTTGCTTCTACTTCTTATATATAAAGGAGTTTTTTTAAAAAAGGTTACATTGAATCCGCTGTCTTTAAAAGTTCTTCTAACCAAAGTAGGATCTATTTGGTATGATTTTTTATTTTCTTTTATTTTTTGCAGAAAAGCTTTTAAAAGAAGTTATCTTAATTTTTGTTTGAAAACTAATTTTTAAAAGAATTTCATATTCCGTAAGTGCTTTTAGAGAAAGTCATATTCGACTAGTTTCCTCTAAAATAACTTCTAACTAGAAGGAGTACTTACATAAAATTAGCTAAACCAATTCAAAAGCAATTTTTAAGTACCAAAAGCCCATTTTTGCTTCTCAAAAGCCTCGTGCAACGGTCCATACTTTCAGGCGAAACAACTTTTTTGTTTCAGAAATAATTTTAGCTTTTTCAAAAGTCTTATCAAAAGGACCCTAAGTCTAATATAATCATGATCAAAGATACATATATTTCTCATGAATCATAATTTTTTTCTAGGTTCAATTAACCTTATGATCACACTATTTTGGTATTTAAAAGGGATATATGAAAAGCAAGGACATGTGCTATTCACACCTTTTGTTTTGAAGTTTGAATATTATGGCTCGTAGTAGTTTGTTAATTTATTTTCCATTTTGGATGGGTAGACTTTTGCTTGGGAATGGGACATGAATCTTATTCTAATGTGTTTTTTAAATTCTCATTCCGGTATTTTTATCCACGCGACTCTTTGTAAAGGCTTTATGCATATTTTTTTTTAATTACTGTCTAACACATTGAGTTCCTGTTTGGTTTAGATAAAAATAATATTTTTATTAAATTTTAATAAAAGTTGATGAACTATGTTATATAATTGTGAATTTCATGAAATAAGTGATTAAAATTAATTTAACTTTTTAACCGAACTAAATGGGACTTAATAAATTTTGTCACACGTCTTCTTATTAACTCTATACATTTAACAACTATCCTGCTCTGCACCGTCCTCCCTCAGTCCTTGAAAATGAAAAAAAGGGAAAGGCCAAAATGAAATGGAGTAACCCAATGTCGACCTTTGGTTCTGTAGACTTTAGATTGAAAGTGACAACATTTGCCCCAAAAAAAAAAAAAAAAGGAAAAAAAAAAGGGAAAAAAAAAAAAGATAAAAGGAATTGCCAAGTGTTGAAATCCAATTGGAAATCCATAGCCCAATGGATATAAAAGGGGACCAATTACACCAAAGTAGCATCCCCTCATTCCTTTCGTCAAAGAAGAGAGGAAGGAAATTTGCTGACTTGCTCAACACACAGCCACACCACATCCCCACCCAATATCCCAACTCAAAATTCTCTTTATTCTCACAAATACACACACTAAAACTCCCATATTTAAGCAGAAAAACACACTTAGCACCAAGTGTTTGTTTTGTCATGGATAGCAGCCTCCAGCAGCCCACAGAACAATCTCGATTCAAGCGGATATGTGTTTTCTGCGGCAGCAGCCCCGGCAAGAACCCTAGCTATCAGATTGCTGCTATACAGCTTGGAAAACAACTGGTAATCCTTTTCTTTTCTTCGTATTTGCATGTTTTTGTAAATCTGTTTTTCATCCCAATCCCAAGTTAAGGAGGAGAGTTACTGTAGGTTGATATAATAAAACTTTTCTAAATCATCGGACATGTTCGCATAAACAAAAGATCAAAAGATCCAGAAAAACAAAAGTTATTTTTCTTTATTTTCTCCATGCAAAAAATTTGAAACTTTTTGCAGAAACCTACAGAATTATAATTTTTGTAATGGATAATTCACTCGAATTTTTTTATGGGAAAAAGGGTTGATTTTTTGGGAACGGTGGAATAGTACAATAAAAAACAGATATCTTTTTGTTTATTTATTTTGAAATAATTTGATTAAAATATAAGAATAATCAGGAAACAAGATTATTGTTTAGATTAACGTGAATTTTAATATATTTTTCTCGTTGAAATAGTATTACGTGTTAATGCAACAAATGTTTATTATTTAACAAAATAATTGACAGGTTGAGAGGAACATCGACTTGGTTTATGGAGGTGGAAGTGTTGGATTAATGGGCCTAATCTCCCAATCTGTATATAATGGTGGTCGCCACGTGTTAGGGTAATCATTTGTCTATATTTTAATTAATTTCAAGTATATATCTCAGTTTAATTTATTTTTGCAATAATTTTTACAGGGTGATTCCCAGAACTCTCATGCCCAGAGAGGTAATTGAATTTGTTTCTTTATCAAGATATTACTATCAATAATGCACATTCGTGTGGTCATGTTCATGTGAATATGTACCACACGACTTGATGTAAAGCTTTTTGCATAGAATTTGTCTTGTCCTCTTTCGCATATATCCCGATCTTTGAAAATCTAACGGGAGTAGAAAGACTTGAAAATAGTCGTAACATTTTTGCATTTTTCAATAATCCTAATTCCTAATAAATAACAAAGAATTGGATCGAAGATATTTTTTTTTGTTGAATAGCTTTATATTTTCTAGCCTTCTATTTTTCTAAGCACAATAAAAAATTTAGATGTTTCCACGTCGCAGATTTCCGAAAATCTTAGAGATAATTAATTAAATAAATAATAATTGTGAATTCAGATCACTGGAGAACCTGTTGGAGAAGTGAGAGCCGTATCCGGTATGCACCAAAGGAAGGCAGAAATGGCCAAGCAAGCTGATGCATTCATAGCCTTGCCAGGTAATTATTTTCTAATTTTGTATTATTAATTAAATTGCATATGGAAATAAATAATTAGAAGAATTTGTTATAATTGTCTCTAGTTGCTTTAACTAAATATGTCAAGTGGATTTGACATGTTAGCCATTATGGAAAAAACAAAACCTTTCTTATCAGTTACTGTGGGAAAATTAATGTTGGATATATATATGTATATTCTTAACTCCCAGGTGGCTATGGTACATTGGAGGAACTCTTAGAAGTCATCACTTGGGCTCAACTCGGAATTCACGACAAACCGGTTCGTCATCAGATCATATTCGATACGTTAAATCAGACAAGACAATAAACGAACATCTTACCCACTTCTCTTCTTCACGAAACGCGTACAATTTTCTTTATATAAGAATAGAAAGGGTTTTGAATAATTTGTTTGTACCATTTACAGGTAGGTCTCCTCAATGTAGATGGGTACTACAACTCTCTTCTGTCATTTATAGACAAAGCTGTTGATGAGGGTTTTATTACACCATCTGCCCGTCATATAATTGTTTCTGCCCCAACTGCCCATGAACTTATGTCCAACCTTGAGGTACATCACCATCCAAGTATACTTCCCCTGCCCCCATCTCCCCACGTGACACGACTAGCAACTTGATAGGTAATCAATGTTGGGCTAAATGTACCAATACTTTTCTTCCGTCAATTCTCTCATCCCATTTTCTTACTCTCATTTTCAATTATATCTCATAAAAATCACGATCTTTTATCAACTTTTCAACCATAAATTTTTAACTAAATCGGATAGGGACTTTAGTAATGGAGATTGTCTTGTATACTGTATGAACAGAATTATGTTCCGAAGCATAATGGAGTTGCGTCGAAGTTGAGTTGGGAGATGGAGCAACAACAATTAGGTTACTCAACGAAATCAGAAATTGCTCGTTAGCCTCGATCCAAGTTTATATTCCTCCCAAGATTTAGGCAAGATACATACAATAAGTTCATCAATTGAAACAGGCAACAAAGTTAGAAGCAAAGATCAAGGGAATGCTAGCTAGCTCCACAGTCCTTTTGGTGGTTTTTTCCCAAATTTATTTTCAAGTGTTACCTTTTGATTGATTTGTACATAGTTCTAATCTTGATAAACAGTAACTGTAATTTTGCTAGTAAGTTTACAATTTTGTGCACGTGTTACGATTTCAAACAATCTTTTGATAAATGTAGCGATAAATTAGTCACGATGTCATTTATGTATTTCATTTGTTGTTAATAATTTGAATACATCTAAGAAATATAGGAAACAAGAATGAAAATGACCAATTGAAATAAAAAATTATAAATAATGGAAAATTAGTCACGTCATTAAAGTGCCTATTTGAAATTACTGAAAAATCATTTGAAGCAAATGAAGAGATATTTTTTGACTTTGGGAAGCCACCAAGTCGGGACCCATTCGTCATTATTGAAATGCCCTTTGATGAATTAGTGGTGCAACTTTGCAGGTCCCGGACACGTCATGTAATTCGGGTTTGCATTCAGCGATGAAGGTTGAAAATTGAAAACCCTATTAATTTTAGATCGAGACTTGTCAAAAATTGGAAACATAAAAATTTTATTCATATAATTTTCAAGATTTTTTTTTTAAATAGTAACTTTTAAACGTCCATTTTCTAACTTGTTCTCTAAGGGTCCGTTTGATTACAAATGTGGAAAGTAGGTGGAAAGAAAATATTTTACGGGGAATTGATTTGCCTAGAAATTATTTTACTGAAAATTGTAATTAATTGTGTTTGATTGGTATAATATTTCATGGAAAATTTTGAAAGTTTGGTATCCGTTTGACTTCGTTTTTTATGAAAATTGTTTATTAAAGTGATAATTTTTTCTACCATTGGGTTTAGAATTTGTTCCAATTGCAAACAAAGAAAAAAAAAACTTGAAAAATATTTACCAACCAAAATATCAAGAATTTGTTTTCCTCAAAAAAGTGGAAAATTTGAAAAATTGGAAAATATGATGTATCAAACGGAACCTAAGATTTTCTATTAAAATTGTAAAAGACTAATTTAACCTTACTGGTGAATGTTAACGTCCCAAATAGACATGATTCGACTACTTAATTGAGTTGGTCGAACGTATAATCAAACAACTTGACATTTGGTCAGACTGAGTTGCTCGAGTATCTCAACTATTTTATCAATTTGATTGAGCTAAACCAAGTTTTCACATTTCTTACACAAGAACTCTTAACAAGTTAAAAGACGGTGAGAATGATATCTAAGGATCTGACTTGTTTTAAAACACACTTGGACTTATCAAGGAGATGCCTCACTTAGAGTTAACTCAAAAATTTCAAAGTGTCGATCCTCCGTCTACCCAACTAGCACCTCAATGTGGTCGACAATTCGATATATCAACTTCCAAGGACGAATTGGGATCAACCTAAATCTTGTCCAATTCAATGTAACAAATTCTGAACTTAAGTACAACTCAAGTAAATCAAGAGGGAAAATTCTAGATAAGGTGCTTCATTGTAATGAAAATGTTTCAGCCAGAGAGGGTAAAAGTACACTTGACTCTGACCTTACTGTTGGAAATATGCAGACTTTCGCATTGCTTTAATTGGTTCAATAACTAATCTTATCTAATACAGGGATAGCATTATCCAGTTCTTCCTAACCATTGTACCGCAAGCTAAAGATGACAAAATTTAAAAGGATAACAACCCTTCCAATTAAAGGAACAAAGGTGCAAAGCCAAAGTGCTCAAAGTTTTTATCACTTTTTTTTAGTGAGAGAGTACTTTCCCGTGGCCGTGGACAAAACTAATGATCACTCTCACACTGTGCAAAGTGAAATATTTGTTCGATTTAGCCTATTCAATATGAAATAGATGTGAACACGTATCTAAAATACCGACGTTTGAAGAAGACAATTCACGGGTTTCGACACGTAACCTTCTAACATTAATCCTGGTGCAGAAGTGGGAAGTGATGGTGTAGAGTGGCCCTCACTCGTTATCCAGAAACATGCTTGATGTTTCAACTGATAGTGTAACAGATAAGAACACACACACATCAGAAAAGTGTAAATAGCTAGTGCGCATGTGCACTCAGCATTAACCAAAGAAAACCTCCATTCTCACAATTTTTTATATTCTTAACCTTAGTGTCATGTCGTGTGTTTTTGTCTTTAGTCAACACTACATCATCTCAGATTTTAGTAAACTGGTACGGCTTTTTCTCCTACAAATATCAGGATACTTTTAAGGGACATTGCAACTCATCTATCCATTATAGAGTATCGAGCAGAAATTGATGAAATGAAATGACATTCGACAAAGCATTTAGACGTTTCGAATCGTGCTCGAGCACTTTTGCTAAAACGGCACATATTGCTACAAAATCATATACTAGATGTTGGAAGAATTGGGTGCGAAACTCGAAAATTATTTGAAAATCACAATGACATAACTTGAAAAAGGAAAGAATTAGAAATCAATTTAATTGAGTTGATTTTGAGTGAAAAAAATGAAATCCGGAAGGTCCAATTTATAGATTTCAATGTGTCTTTTAGGGATGGTTGCATCTTTTGGCACACGGTCATTTGGACCATTAGATCACGTCATTTCAAATTGAGACATGATGTAATGTTATACATCGCTTTTTATACAAATGTTAATGACTATTCGTTTATATGCCTCTTTGAATAGTTACATCCAATTTGAAAAATCACGACTTTTCAATAAACACCCTTTGCATTTGAAAAGTCTCGTCTGGTCATCGTACACATTAGAAACTTTTCCGATTCACATATAGTAATATTTAACTAACACGTATATGTCAACAATAGAAATACAATAGAAAGAAAGAAATTGTTCATATAACTATGTGTAATAAGGACTATATGCATGGTAAATCGTCCAAGGAAGACTACCTTAGGTGAAAGACTTAACCACTGATGAAGTGGTAACCAAACCAGAAAGAAGACCAACAATAAGTGCAGTGTTGTATGTACTAGGTTCCCCCTGCATTGAGTTGTTCCTTGAATCGAGATATGTGTCGTTAAGAAATGGTCCACCAACGAGAGCTCCAGTAGCAACATTTGGATTTGGTTCATCTGACTCGAGCCACTTGAAACCATCTTTGCAACCAGTTGTTGCATCAGCTGGAATTGAGGCTCCTCTGTGATGCACGAATTCTGGGTACTTATCTCCATAGCCCACGAGATAACTCATTTTCATAGGGTTGTTGCCCAAGACATAATCGGCCTAAAAAGAAGAAGATGCTTGTGTAAGTATTAGGATTTGTGAGCCAAGACATTGATGACATTTACGATATCTTTGCTGAATATGCAATTTACATAAATCTACGTGTTTCCTCTCTAATAGCTAAAGGTTTTAGCTGAGGTGCTTCAACATGGTATAAAAGTATAATTGTATTTCCTCTTTAACAACTAAACATTTAATGAGGTAGATCGACATTATCCATCTAACCAAGTGACACGATGTTTTTGCGTAGTGAAGAGGAAAAGTGTACTTGTGATATGGCAAATTTCCGGAGATCTGAGGGAGTAAAGGTATCTCCATCGCAGGATAGCTTTGTAGTCCGAGATGTGAGCATGTAGGCACTGTAAAGGACAGCTAAAAATGAAGACGCCACGGGCTGCTGCAAAGCATTCCATTCACTCACCCATATCAAACCATCTGCATTAACAAACTGAATGCGAGTAAAACTTCTACTGAAATCACCCTAAGTGATCTACATGTCGATTTTATGAGACCAAAACTTATAAATATACGCAGTGAAATTCTATTTTTATGGGATGAATTGAAGACAATAAATGAGCCAAAACAAGAATGTAAGTCAGAAGGATCAGAAAGAAGCTTACTATCTGTTCTGCTGGATGTGGCTGTTGAAGATTCCGGTAGGAGGCCACACATGACAGCCTCTGCCGATTTTTTATACTTCTGGAGGATATCGAAGTTTGATACGTCTTTCGGCCCAAAAATGCTAACCCTAGACAGCAGGACCTGAAGAAAACACTTAGTTACTCCCTCAATGAACAAGCCGCATACACGATTCCAGAAAATCTCCACCATTGAGGTTGTGTTGTTCTAATTGATCTAATGGACTAATGGTAATCAATTACTTGAACCATTTTTCAGACTAAAATCATCACCAAGTTGAAAAGGAAGCAACATATCAACTAGAGAATTTTGATATGTGATAAGGGGGAAAGGATCGCGGCCATTCTAGTGACGGGAGCACTGTTCGGGGGCTCAATCCTCAATTAATTCCAAATATATCCATACCTGAGTTCCAGCCAATTTGTTATCCCAGCTAAACCATGTTGGACTTCCCCAATTAGCGAACTCTTCACCATTTTCCCCTGTGACATAATCGATATATGATTGCTCTCCTGTTGCATGGTATAGCCAACTGGCTGCCCACAAGAGCTCATCTCCGTAGCCCGTTGAATTGTAATACGTTTTCACTTCAGGAATGCTGATGCTATAGGATTTTCTATGCTTGTCAGCAAAAGTAAACAATTGTGTAGCATGCTTCAGAAGCAAACTCGAATATGCAGAGTCAATAGACTTAAACACGAGGGATGCTGATGCCATAGCTGCTGCAGTTTCGGCAGCAACCTCAGTTCCTGGGGTAGAAGTGTTCACCCGTGTGAGAGGCCTTGGCCCGGTCATGTCCTCAGGTCTGTCCCAACAACTATGGTCTGCTTTAGGACTGCCCACCTGCCAAGATTTGCAATGGTGAAACAATACAATTTAGAGACATTTCCAGCAAACACAAATGAGCTTTAAGTTTCAATGCACAGTGGTGCAAAGCACATTTAAGGCTCCTAAGTTTTTTTTTTTTTTTCAAGTAGAGATTTCATGTACAGAGACATGAACATATACTTTCCTGAAATTTCCAAGAACATGACATTAGATAAATTTAATGTAATAACATCAAGAATGTAACGGGATTGGACAACCTGAATGTAAAGAACATTTTCAGAAGGATGAGCATTTATGAGATAATCAGTTATCCACTTGAGAGAGTCCTGAGCCATTTCCAATTGATTCACTGCCTTCATTTGATCCCCAAACTCGAGGATGCTCCATGACAACACGGTTGCAGTGTAAGCCAACGGGAATCCAAACTTCATATGATCTCCTGCATCGTACATACCTTTCGAAAGATCCAGTTTTGCTTGACTTCCATCTTTCAATGCCGAATCCCCTCTCCAAGATATTTTATTGTCCACCAATTTTCCAGCTGCAACAAAATGCTCCATCCAAGATCAAGAACAACAAACTAAGTGTTGGTTCCAAACAAATTTTCTGGTCGGTTACATGAATCATTTTTCGCTTTTCAGTTCGATTCATTACTTGATTTATTGAAAGGTCTAAAACAACTAGATCCTTAACAACCACATTAAGCTCTATTTGGTTCAGCTAAAAAAATTGATTAAAATTTAAGTCAAAGTCAACACGTAATTTTAACAATTGTGACCCACAACTTTTCAACCACAAATTTCATCAATTTTTATCTAAACCAAACATGAGCTAAATCTCTTCCTTATCATAATTAATGAATTCAATCTCAGTTATAATTTCCCATTTAAACCAAAATGTTCATAACATAGCTACTGAAACTCATATGGAAACATATATGTAGCTAAAGTATCGATCATCAAGTAGTGCCATGCTTAAGAAATGAAAAAAAAACATCATAATGTATAATATACAGATCTAAAAAGATAACAAATTCAAAACAATAATAATAAAAGAGGAGGAGGAGGGATTATACATTTTTGTACATCAAAAAACTGCATTGCAATTTTAAGAGCATCAGCATATTTCTTCGCATTGGAACCGGGTGGCCCCGGAACATCTGAATCAGACTTTTGATTTTTCAATTTTAGAGCAATGAAAACTCCAAATGCAATTGTTGCTAACACAATCAACAACAGACACCACCCCCAGCATCCTTTGCACCGCGATTTCTTTCCCATTTTCCTTATAACTTTTCTAGAATTTGGTAAAAATGGAAAATGCTTTAACATGCAATGAATATTAGGATGTTACGAGGGATATTGGATAAAATTAGAATGTGTGATCGCTTAAATTCGAGAGAAACTACAGGGGAATATTTTCAGAAGTACACATTAAAAAATGCAGTTGTTTGGAATTGGAGAGATGTGAGCACCGACAATTTCTGGGACGATGATGTTTCTTCTTCTTCCTCGTTGGTTAATTTTTTGTGGCTGTGATTTGGGGTGCATGAACATGGCAATTATGGAGGAACATAGCATGTCTTTTGCTGTCAAAATGGGCTTCAATGTGATTTTGAAACCGGATCCTACTGTTTTGACCTGGGTCGGCCCTATCATATTACAGTCCATTTAAGCCCAATAAACTAATACTTTCCTTTTAATAATTTTAAGAAAATTTAATTTATTTACTAATAAGCATTTACTCTTGGTTGTTTGCCTTTTCTTTTTCCCCATAAATTGTAACGCGCTGCAACTAAACCTAAATCACAAAATCAGTTTCTGTCGATTAGTCGCCGTTTCACGGAATTCTCATTTTTTCGGCGACTTCCGGATCGATTTTCCGATCAGGTAAGTTTTCTGCCTATTATATTTATTACTAATTTACATATTTTTTATTTGTTTGGTGTATCTATTTTAATGCCTTTGTTTTTTAATTGATTGCGGTTAGATGTTTAATTGTCAGTCTTATGCGTGATTTATTACTGTTAATTAAGCGTTTAAAAATCCTGGATTGTCATTTAGGGTTTAAGATGGAATTGAAGTTTGATGACTGGTGACTCGAATTCGTGATATGGTGACTGAAGCAATATGTGTTGTTAGGTGAAATCATGAGAAATCGTGTGGATCGTTGTATAATAAAATTGCAAAGTTTGACAAATTCACCATTTCACATTTTTTGGTACCGTTTTGAGGTTATGATCGTGTTTTACTACCAGTTTCTGGTAAATTATTCATAGTCGGTTCTTAGAACAGCTGTGAAATGCAATGTGCAATCACTTCACCGGTCTGTTAATGATTGCTTGAAAGTTGTATAATGAAAATGTGAAAAAACTGAATAATGAGTAAAGCAGATATATTTATCTTTTTGTCCACATTGTCATTTCCTTTTACGGATGAATTGTTGATAGATAATCTCTTAATGAGTAAAGCAGATATATTTAAGTTTATTCTAAACTAAATAATGATCGGTTGGAAATTTTGGCCACTGTGATAGCGTGATGTGGCACACACTTGCAGAAGAGCAGAACCAGCAATTTAATCGTATGTGCCAATACTTGGTTGAAAATCAACCCAAGGTAAGTTTTTCTTTTGTATTTACCAGCTATAAAGACGGTCTCTTCTTCAAGGAATTTTTATGCATTGTTGACTGTCATGATACTGATTATTTGAAATGTTTTTCCAGAAAATGCAGATGGATAACGAAGCTAATGACCTGCACCCAAAGCAAGAGCGTTTGAGGACGAGATGGACTGCAGCCCTTGATAAGATTTTTGCAGACATAGTGGTGGAGCAGATTCAGATAGGGAACAGGACGAACAATGTTTTTGACAAGAAAACATGGAACCAGATCCGTGAAGAATTTAACAGACAGACCAATCTCAATTTCAATAACAATCAGTTGAGGAAACATCTGGATGTTCTTAGGACACGTTATCACAATCTGCAATCTGCTGTTAACCAAAATGATGCAATGCAGGATCCTGGCTATGTGGGGTTTGATTTATGGGAAGATTTCGGGGTATCTCTCTTCCCTGTCACTCTCCTATGTACATACAGAAACATGCATGTTAACCAATATGTATGTACTAAGCTACTTAATATTGTCATAATCATTTTATGCATACAGGCACAATCAAAGACCGAACTAATAAAGACCAAGGAGTGTCCTATTTATGAGCAACTGTGCACAATATTTGCAGATTCGGGAGTGGATGGCAAATATGCTCAATCAAGCCACTATGAAGAACTGGGCAAGTCAAGTGGGACTGATCCACCTGGTCCAGAAGGTGGGAACCTACATCCTAAAACTCCATCTTCATCAAAAAATATTCATGGGAATGAATCTTCGCCACAAAACACGACCACAGCAGATAAAAAGAGAAAGCGTCCTTCAGACTTGGTCTCTGTATCTGTGCAAAACAACTGGAATCGAGAATTAAGTGATGGAATTGCCAAAGCCATCAATGAGATGATTGCTTCCTCAAGGCTGCGAACAGTTACAATGCCTCAGATTGATAAAAAGTTCACAATTACTAACTGCATAAAAGCCTTGGATGAAATAGAAGGCATCGAAGACAGCCTGTACTATCCTGCCTTGGATCTCTTCGAGAATCCTAGTTTCAGGGAGACGTTCCTTTCTCTCAAGAGCAACCATATTCGGCTGACATGGTTGCAGGGAAAGGTGCAGAAAAAGTGTGGCAATTATACCCCATTAAAATTTGCATTCTAGATCTAAGTATACCAGCGTTTAAGATTTTCATTAGGGGACAAGTTTTTGTTATAGATGGTAAATGTACAAAATCTTTTTATCCATGACCGGACGAAAGGGACAATATGTTTGGTGGATCGCATGATATTGTACATCAGGATGTTACATCTTGTCTTATAGATTGTCAAAACCTTCATGTACATAAGAATTACTTTTGAATTGCAGTAAGCACTTATTTCATCATATATCCTATTTTCTATTGCTCATGTAGGCATGCAGAGAGCTCCTTTCTTGAATTGCTGTGTATCAAAGGCCTTGCTTTTCTCTGTACCAGTTCTATCTTCTATCTCTTTGAAACTTGTTTACTTTGAGATTAACCCTTTGCCACGATCATTTATTTGAATTTTGTAAGTAGATAGCACGTACGATGTGAGTAACTTCCATTTGAAGAACATGTAACTTTAATTCTCTTGTCCCGTGACATCTTGACAGCGATGCTTGTACTGCTTGTTCTTAGTGGGTATTTCACTATAACATAGGTAAGTAATTGTGGATGTTTTTTTTACTCCAATGATAACTACACTTGCGAACTTGGATTATCATGACCCCTGCTTGTGGCTTTTAGGTCTCAAGTCGTTTTCTTCTCATTTTTCATTTTTTTTTTACAAATGAAGTATGTTATTGCATATCTACGTATCGGTACTCCGGTTTGATTACTTATAGGCAAAAAAATTGAAGCATCTACATATAGGCTGTCATGTATTGAATCTCGACAACACGATCAAGCAAGACAAACGATCACAAATGTCTTGGGGAAATTAACTCAACATCTTTGCAACAAGTACTCGATACAATAAGCACAAACTAGAAGATATAGAGCTCATATTTCTGTTATGTCACCCACAGAGAGTTGTGGAGTTTAAAGGCCTCAACTCATCACAAAAGCATCATGATACTCAAGACCAAACAAAACAAAAAACAAACTGTACACAAAAGCCAACATAGCAACAATAAGCTAAATTTTGCAGATACTAGCTTTGCCAGAAGGTACTCAACTAGGCACCAAATGTGCCAAACACCAAGAATACAAGAACATGACATAAAAGTGCGTTAGGAATATAAAGACGATATGATCCTTGCTAGAATTCCAAGAGATGCAACATCCTATGACAATTTTTTATTCAATGCTTTATATAACTACACAGGCTGAAAGATTCTTGTACACATGAAATTTCTTGCATAAAATCAAATAATCAAAAATATCATGGGTCACGGAAGTTTTATCTAATAAATAACATCTCTTGTGAGATCACACAATATCAAAGGGAAAATGATTGTCTTCATCTCCACTCTTTGGTGAAGATCTTTCCAATAATCCAAACTCCAAAACTTAAATTTGTATTTGGTGAGATCATAAAGAAAGAATTTGTGTACAACAATTGATTATGCTATAGCACTAATGCAGCCATAAAAAATTAAGAAGTTTGGTTTGAACTTTTGCCAACTGTATAAAATTCCAGCATTTCTTCTTCCACTGGATGAACGTCGCCTACTATGACGAGGCAATGCAAAGGGGGTCCAAAATCTATTGTCAAAAGTTGCTTCATCGAACCTGCAACTATCGCCTGATCTTCACTGCCTACTCGTGCCAAACCAACACAGGTAGTGTCCTCACTATATGCTGCAATTTGGATAGCAATGATCAGCTCCAGCTTATAATGATTATTGTTAGTGGTTCCCACTTTTTACTCATAGCATGAAGTGATTCTTTTTACTTTTAATGTGCAACTCTTATTAAAACTTCATAGGAATTGCATAAAATGGCAAGAACTCATGAACATACCAGATTCTCCACGGTTTTGCTCAATCTCTAAGAGCTGTTCAATTGCAGTGCTTATTGTCATATACCTTGGTGGCTCATACTCTTTTTTCCCTCTGAATTATCACAAGGGGCAGACATGTGAATACCGGTCCAAGTGATTGCATGTAAATGCACGAGAAAAAAGGAATGATGGAAAATAAGCAAGGTTGAGTTTCTATTATGATGGGATATATTAGCCTTGTCACTAACCTGCACAAGGATTCTAGTGAGGGTTCCTTCACTCGTATATCTGCAAATATCAGAATGTGCAGTAAGTTTCACAAAATATAGTCAAGACATTTAAAAATTAACATCTACATATCAACTCCAGAAGTATAAGAATTAAAATGTTGACTTTACCTAACAAGCAAAGAGTGTGCAACCCGAGGGTTCTATTTCTTCTAATCTTCTCATAAAAACTATCAGGCCTCCAGGTCTCTGTGAAGAATGGTATTGAAATTGTCTCCCCATACCGGTAAAGCTGCAGCCCGCAAACTCCAATTGCATTCATCACTGACGCATTGTGTACCACCTTAACATCCACCCCCAACTTCTTCGCTCGGACAACAAGATCAGTGTGGGTCGTTGCTCTTTATTGGTCATAAAACAGTAATCACAAGCCAACACATGCAGTGAGTAAAGACAATAGTTTCAATTTTTACACTCACAAATTCAAATGTGCTTCCATACAAACACAACACTTACTTTACACACTTTCTTATTCCCAAGCAATGGAAAATCTCAGAGCAAAAGATACATTTTTTTGAAAAAATAAATGTTTCTATGGTGAAAATCTAAAATAGATTTACCCAAATTACCCATTATACAGAACCAAAAAAAGGTTTTACACACTAACAAATTTCACATAACCTCCACCCAAATCACTCCACCTACAAAGCAATCAACTGCAATAACACACTTTTCTCCTATCAACCTCAAATCCCAGATCAAGCCTCATCAGAAACAAGGAATTTGGAATTCAATCGAGAAGATCAATAAATGGGATTAAACAGACAGAAAAAATTTGGAATTTCTATAAAAAATAAATTGACAGAAATCAAAATTACCCAAATGGATCCCCGACGACTAAGAAGGCCACATCAGAAGACTGAGCTTCTGAAAGTATATCATCTGCCTTCTCCTCTACCGTTTCCCTATCTGCAATTATGATTGATTTCCCATAAATATTTTCCTGCAAGAACATAAAAATAAAAACTCAAAACTTTATGAAACTTGCACTCGATCCAAAAATAAAAAATAAAAAATGACCCACCAATGTGGATTTGCCAGTGGAAGAGAGACCAAAGGAGAGGAGAGACGTGTAGGCCTCCATATACACTTTGCTGCATTTTTTGACTGTTTCAAGCCCTCTCAATGTAATGTCTTTCTCATCCCCTAACCCTAATCCTACCAAATACAACATGCTTCCTCTCTCCGTGTGTGTGAGTTCTTACGGTATATTTTCCTGAGATGATAAATTTGCAGCTTCACGGAGGGGAAGCAATGGCTTAAACCCTAGAAAATCCTTAGTAGTATTTATAATCTAATAATTAAACAAGGTTGGCAGCCTAAGAAAAAAAAAACCAAGATTAATAGCGTAGTTTAGTAGATTAACAAACAAAGCTCAGCTAATTTCAAACGAATTAAATACTCCAATTAATTGGCTGCCTTCTAAGGTAATGTAACATATATATATAGCAGTTTTTCAATAGCCAGTTTTATATAAGACTAGATCGGAAATGCTATTTTGTAAGAATGAAGTTGCACAAATTTATTATCGTAACAGAGTTCAACTTTCTGTGCATTTCAACATAAAAAGAAACAACAACATACTCTATACACAAGAAAAATGATGTGTAAATGTGTAAAAAGATGCGTAAAGATAAAAGGAGAGCTTGATCACTGAATCTTAGAGTAAACAAGTATCTATGACAAGAAGAAAAATTTACCACTAGAACCCAATAGACAATAATGTCCAGTGAAGATTCTTTTGGTCTGGTGATGGCTTTAAGCTAATGATATTCGGTGAAAACTAGGATTAAACTTGATCAAACTCCTGATCCAATTTTTAATGATGGACATTTCTCAAATGAAGGCAGAAATTGCATGAGCTCCAAAATAAATTTACCACACAAAATTTCTTTCTTGGGGCATATTCATTAAAACAGATCATAGATGCAACATAAGCAGCAGGATTCGGGTCAAGAAACACACTTGAGAAACTACAAATTCAAATCCTTTGCACATGGTTAACCATTGCATTGCATCTATAATTAGCATACAGATACCAGAAATCTGTCCATTTTAAATTCACATCGTTTAGTTCATTCTTATCTTCTAATAATTTATACCAGTCAAGAACAAGTCCAATTAAAGCATTTGAGATATAAATGCAGGTTAACACTAATTTCTATCCAGCCCAGATCTTCAAATAATTCTTTAACACAATAGTAATGAACTAATAAATGATTTACCTGCAGATCCTTGGATCGCCAAAGAACAAGCAAAGGCAAAGATTTTAAGCACCAATCCAAGAACTGGCAGCATCACCGCCCCCATCCCACATAAAATAACCAATTAATCTCTAAGAAAAACTCACCAACTCAATCTCAATAATGATAGATAGATTACAGAATCAGAACATTGAAAGAATTTTTTTCCCAATAAAAATAATCCAATCTCTTTACAGTGAATAAATTATTCAAGAAAGATAGGTAACTTAAAATGATAACAAAGGGGGTTAGATTAGGTTAAAGAAGAAGACCCACGAGCAGAAAGAGTAAGAGGCAAGCAATATTCAAGAAAGATCGGCATTTGTTTCTTGAAAAGCCCAAAAATGGGGCGGTATTAGTAAAAGTAAAAAAAAAAAACATTAGTTGGTTTCAAAATGTTCCCGAAAGTCCAAACAGAAACACAGAAACAGGCAACACCCAAGTCCCAACAGCCAAAGTGTCAAACTCATAGTGCACTCACGCACGGGTTACTGGTTAGTGCACTCACGACAGAAAATTCAATAGCAGACGGCCCAGACCGAGACTCAGGCACATGAATACCCAACAACACTTGTGAAAATGGCCAATAGCAGATGAATACCAATAGCAATTATAGAAAACTCACCTACTGGGAGCCTGGCTGATGAAAACTGATGAAAACGGGGGACGTGCGCGGTGCTTGCAGATTGCAGGGGCGTGCGCTTCAGAGAATTCTCTGTTTCTGTTGGTATTGGATTGTAGGGCTTCTATCATACAGTTTTGGGCCAAATAAGTGGCCACTTTTTTTTTTAGAGTTGGTTTCTTAAAATAATGGGGCGGCCCAAAGCCCAGTGCAGGCATGGGCTTAGGTTGGGTCCGCCCCTGCGTAAGAAGTAGATATGTCCGAGTGATTGAGGAGAGAAACTTGAAATCTGATGGGTTTTGCCCGCGCAGGTTCGAACCCTGCTGTCGACGATCTCCTAGCCTTTTGGTTTCTTCCAATTCCTTTTTTGTGAAAGAGAACTTGTATGTAATATATACATAGGAGAGAGTGTATTTTTATAATATATTATTTTATGATATTTTTCGGAAAAGTGTGTCTATAATTTGAGAAAATTTATGGATCCATGTGCAAAATTATTTTATTGACATAATGTATGATTGCAAATGAATTAACCTGTGTTTGAATTGAAATTGAGATAGCGATGCAAGTTCTTCCTCTCCGAATTAGATATTTTCATATCTAAAAGATTTAAATATTATAATTTTGAGACAATGTTGTTTAACGAAGTATACTATTTTAGTTTTTGAAGTAATGTTATTTATCATCTTGATGATGAAATATCGATGATGTGACAACTCATTATTCTTCATATTTCTCCCTTTCTCTCCTTACATATTTTCATAAAAATTGAACAGTACAATCTCATTATTCCATATAGACTGTTATATCACTGATAGTCCATCATTATAATGATAAATAGTATTATTTTAGTTTTTTTGACAGTATGACACTGCGCCATATGCCCCTTCATGCCACACCTAAAGCATGTTGAATTTCCTTATCTTCGGAATTATCTATAGAAGTTTTTTCCCGTTGTAAATTTGTTCAAAACAATTTTTTAATATTGGTTTATGGGAATAAAAAGAGATTTATTTGACCCAAGTTGATGAATTGAAATTAAATTAGAATGTGGAAAATTATGCCTATTCGGTCACAAGGAATTGTCTGCAGGAAACTGAAGCAATTTTGCTTCTGCTATGCATACACAAAGTTATAATCATGCGTACACATGGTTCAATTTTATAGCCGTTGGGCTATTTTTTTCATTTGAAATCTGGTGTTGATTCACGAAAAGTTTTCCACTTTTTATGAATTGTTGGGACCTATTTGAAGCATATGGATGGAATTATTATAAATAGATGATAGATTTTCATTTCTAAATATAAAAAGCAAGTAAATCATTACTTGAGATATTTCAATTAATTCATTAAATATTCAAACTTCTTAAAGTTTTTCAACAAGTTCAACTAGGAAGAATCGATTGTGCTTTTATGCTTCTTCCTCGAAGGATTGTCAACCTCTAAACTATTTGTTGGAAATCCTAAAAGCATATTAGAGGGGGCAAATATCATTTTTACGACAACGTATCATATATGTATTCGAACCATATACTTCATTTCGTCTTGTTCAAGTTTCTATCTTTATCTTCTCATTTTCAATATTTTCAACAATCTAAAAATGATATTTTACATTTACTGCAATGGAGACGGAAACTACATTGGCTACCATCAAGTTGATGAATCAAGATTTAGTGCTCTTGGTTTGATGGATCAAATTTCACAAAATGGTAAGATAAACTCAAATTCCTTCTAGCAATATTAAAGATCTTCTATGTGCTTAATCCAAACTTGGAATCAATTGTCAATGCAACTGAAGAAGATATGGAAGAGGTTCGTACTAAGAGAAAAAGAGGCAAGATGACGAATTGATATCGCAGTCACATCCTAAATGCTCTTTCAGATCGATTGTATGATATCTACATTAACACCAATTTGGGCGAAAGAAACATGGGATGCACTTGAAAACAAATATAAGGCCGAGAAGGAAGGTACCAAGAAATTTCTTATATCTAAATACTTTGATTTCAAAATATTAGATAATATTTCTTTATTGTCTCAAGTACATGAATTACAAGTCATTGTAAACAAATTAAAAGCGGTGAAAATGGAACTTTCCGAATCCTTTCAAGTATGAGCAATTATTGCTAAACTCCTGGGGATCTTGGAAATGATATAGGAAGAAGATTATTCACAATTTCGAAAATTTCTTTTTGAAACACATTCAAAAACATATTTGCATAGAGGAAGAACTAAGGGCAAAAGATAAGACTGAAAGTTCTTATGATACCTCTTCAAAAGTCAATGTCGTGGACAATGTGGATAACTCCAACAAGTACAAGAAGAAAGGGAAATCTCTTGGTACTAAAAATGATCAAGGGAAGTTCAAAACCAAATCCAAAGGACCTTGCCATGTTTGTGGAAAATCGGGGCACTATGCAAGAGATTGTAGTCACAAAAAGAAACAAAAGAAGGAAAGATGAGTGAATTCCATTGATAAGATTATCGCTATGATAAGCAAAATCAATACAATTCAAAGCAAAATTCCAGGTTGGTGGTATAATACCTGCGGAATCATTCGTGTGTGTTATGATAAATCTCTTTTCAAAACTTATCATGACATTGATGATGATCGAGAGATCCAAATGGGAAATGAATGATGACTAAAGTAATTGAAATAGGGAATGTGGATATCATTTTCACTTCAGAAAGAAGGTTACTTTGACCAATGTCCGTCACGTACCGGAAATCAATATAAACTTAGCAAGTGGGCTTTTTTCGAAAAATCGGGAATCAAATCTGTATTTGAGTCGAAAAAACTTGTATTAACCCAAAATGGGTATTTTGTTGGAAATGGCTATCCTACCGAAAGAATGGTCAAACTTCGTACTTTTGAGAATAATTCTAATAAAAACAAAACTTTTGCTTATGTTATTAATTCATTTAATTTATGACATGGTATATTAGCATACATAAGAATTAGCACTATGAAAAGAATGGTTAAATGTGGATTAATACAATATGAAGTTGATAAGTTAGAAAAGTGTGAAACAAGTGTTAAATCAAAGATGATTAAACAGTCATTTCATAGTATAGAAAGAAAATCTCAATTAACTAAACTTGTGCATTTTGATATATGCGAATTGAATGGTATGCTAACAAGAGGAAGTAATAGATATTTCATTACATTCATTGATGATTGTTCTAGATATGCTTATATTTATTTTTTAAAACAAAAATATTAAGTATTCAATTTATTTAAGGTATATAAAGCAGAAGTTGAAAATCAATTAGGAAGAAATATAAAGTCTTTAAAGTGATAGATGTAGATAATACTTCTCTAATGAGTTCAATATGTTTTGTGAACAAAATGGAATAAAATATCAATGCTTTGCACCACGAACGCGGGAACAAAATGGTCTAGTGAAAAGAAGGAATAGAATATTCTTAGAAATGATAAATGCTATGTTATTAAATTCCGAATTACCATTTAACTTATGGAGTGAAGCCTTACTCAGTGCTTGCCATATAGTAAATATAATTCAATTGAAAAATGATAAGGTTTTTCCATATGAAATATGGAAATGAAGGAAAACAAATACTAATTATTTCAAAGTATGGGGATGCCTTGCTTATTGCAAGAACACGGATTCTAAGAGAATTAAATTAGGTTATAGAGGAATTAAATTGTCTTTGCGGAATATGTCTTAAATAGCAAAGTCTATAGGTTATTAAATTTAGAATTGAATGTTCTAATAAAATCAAGGGATGTGTAGTTTTTTGAAAATGTATTGATAATAAGAAATTATCAAAATGAAACTCATACAGCATTCCGACTTTTAGAGAATCACAAGAAAAGATATCTACCAGAGATGTTGAAAGTGAACCCCGAAGAAGTAAAACACCTAGAAAAGAAAGAGGTCTAGGATCGAATGAAATAGATTCCCAACTTATTTATTTTTACTTAGTGGAGGGAAAGATAAAGGATGTTGTAAGAATAATTCGTTTTATTTTTCAAGTCGACAGTGAACCTAAAACATATAAGGAAGCAATGCCTTTTCAGAGATTGCGAATTCTGGAAATGTGCAATAAATAATGTAATTGATTATATTATATGCTTGTTTGGGAGGGATTTTAATCCAATTAAAATTAAAAATATAGTCGTTATTGGGTCTCACTCGTCTAATAAAAGTCAACAATAGCGGACAGTATTTCAATTTTAATCCGATTTTAATCCCTCCCAAACAAGCATATAAAATAACACTTGAGAAATAGTTGATGTACCAAATGGTTCTAAATCCATTGGTCGTAAATGGGTGTTTAGAAGGAAATATAATTTCAATGGAATACTCAATCCATATAAAGCTAGATTAGTAACTAAACGGTATCGACAAAAAAAGAAGGAATATATTACTTTGACACGTATGCATCCATGGCTAGGATAACCTCAATAAGGATCTTATTTGCATTAGCGTCTATTTATAATTTACATGTACATCAAATGAATGTCAAGACAGCATTCCTAAATGGAGATCTTGAAAAGGAGGTCCATATGAAACAACCCAAAGTGTTTGTTCTACTAAAAATTGGACATAAGGTATGCAAACTAATCAAATCCTTATATGATTTAAAAGAAGCCCCTAAAAAATGGCATGAGAAATTTGACACTACTATTATATCACATGGTTTTACTCATAATTCGGTTGATAAATGCTTGTATATCAAAGTATATGATAATATTATTACGTTGTATGTCTTTATGTGTAATATGTTAATTATTAGTAATGACATAGAAGGGATTAAAGATACGAATATTTTTCTATCTTTCATGTTCAAAATGAAAGATATTGGACAAGTGGACACTATCTTTGGTATCAAAGTAAAGAATGATAGTAGGTGTTATTCATTAAGCCAATCACATTATATTGAGAATGTAATAAATAAGTTCAAACTTTTGAACATTAAAGAGGCAAATACCTAGTTGGATTCAAGCATCAAGTTAGTAAAAAATGATGCAAGATTAGTAGCTCAAATTGAATATGCAAATGCAATAGGAAGTCTTATGTAAGCGGTACAATGTACAAGAGCCGATGTTGCATTTGCTGTGAGCAAACTAAGTAGGTTTACTAGTAATCCAAGTTCAGAACATTGGAAAGCCATATGAAGAGTTTTTGGTTACTTAAAGAAAACCAAAAACCTTGGATTACAATATACAAAGTTCCCAACTATTTTTGAAGGATATATCGATGTTAGTTGGATATCAAGTGTTGGAGAAAATATGTCTACTTTAGGTTGGGTGTTTACTCTTGGAGGAAGTGCAGTTTCTTGAAAGTCTAAAAAATAAACATGCATTACACACTCAACAATAGAGTCTGAGTTTATAGCATTGGCCAAAACAAGAAAAGATGATGAATGGCTAAGGGATCTTCTTTATGAAATTCATTTGGATGTAAATGATATTTCTTCAATACCTATCTTGTGTGATAGTCAAACCACCTTAACACGAGCATATAATGAAGTATATAATGAAAAGTCTAGACATACGAGTCTAAGACATGAGTATGTGAGAAAATTAATCAAGTATGGAATAATTTCTCTCACGTATATTAAATCTAGTGAAAACTTTTAATTGATCCGTTGACTAAACCTCTTACAAGAGAGTTACTAAGATCAACATCAAGAAGGATGTGATTGGAACTCATTGATTAAAAGTTCACCAATGAAGGCAACCCTACCTAATTATACTAAACACATATATCTAGGTTCAAAGGGTAATAACAAGTCATTCGATAAATGTATAAGTTTTAGTATTATTAACCTATAATAAAATCTCATCATTGACAAATAGTGTTGGTTGTTACGATTGGAGGGATAAGTTAATAAAACTCTTAATGAGGTTCAATACCAAGTACAAGTATATCTAAAATTAACAAAGATATTGAAAGAACTTCACATACGTGAATTTCGAGGTGGTGCCGCTTCAATATAGAGTTAGAGTATATCTTTTAAAAGTTCAACGAGTAGGATAAGTACGGGCTATAATAGCACTAAAGCGAGTTTGGGGAACTTGTGAAAACACAACACTCGTGTGTGTGATTTCACGGGTATTATCACAATGAATGATTCATTCAAAACTATAATGCTATCTGAAATTTCGATAATACTTTGTGAGATTTTTACTATGGATAGATTCAAATTGAAAGATATCTAATCATTATGCACAAGTGTTGCTAAATTTGAATTGTGATTGACATTATTTTGAACAATGGGGGATTGTTGTAAATTTGTTCAAAATAATGTTTTTATATTAGTTTATGGCCATGAAAAGAGATTTATTTGGCCCAAGTTGATGAATTGAAATGTGAAAAATTATGTCTATGCGTACACATAGGCCAACTAGCCATACGTGCACAAGGAATTGTCTGTAGGAAATTGAAGCAATTTTGCTTCTACTATGTGTATGCAAGGCTATAACTATGCGTACGCAAGTTTCAATTTTATAGCCGTTTGACTGTTTTTTCATTTGAAATCTGATGTTGATTCATAAAAAGTTATGACTTATTAGGATATGTTCGAGGCATGTGGATGGAAATACTATATAGAGATTATATATTTTCATTTCCAAATATAAGAAACAACAAGTAAATCATTACTTGAGATATTCCAATTCATTAATCAAATATTCAAATTTCCTAAGTTTTTTAACAAGTTCAACTACGAGGAATCAATTGAACTTTTCCTTGAAAGTTTGTCAATCATCTAAACTATTTGTCGAAAATCCTGAAAGTATACTAGAAGAGGCAAATATTATTTTTAGGACAGCGTACCATCTATGTATTTGAGCCCCATTCTTCATTTCATCTTGTTCAAGTTTCTATTTTTATCTTGTCCTCTTCAATATTTCCAACATTTCATTTACTTAGCCATGTGTGATCCTTTTAAAGCTTGAATAATTATTTCGTTATCGGTCATGACTTCAATCGCTATCGCTTCCACGATCATGATCATGTCTACGATTATCTCTATGTTCATGACTATTAAATGTTATAGCATTCTAACAGATTAGAATAAATTGTACGAGGTTCATGATTTTCATCAATAAAATAATATAACACTTAAATAAAAAACTTACTTCAATTTGACATCCATGACATTTCAAATTAAACGCTCCCATGTCCTTATAGTTATAGGCTTATAGCACCTCAAGGCGCACTCCACAAACATCGCACGTGGATAAAAGGTCCCTTTTTCAACCGTTAATTTACAATCAAAAGCGAAAGGCAAAATTATTTTCTAAAAACGGTCACAGTACAACGGCTCACAGACAAACCGTGCACCGTCTACAGAGAAACGCTCCCTCCTGTTTCTCGAGAATTAAAAATCTAGGAAGTTCAAGATTCAAAACATAACTTGGTCCCCCCCAGTTTTTCCTTCTCTCTCTTTACCCCTACTCACTCTCATCTCCGCCGACGTATTAACGGTTAGCCGTCGCATACGGCGGCGCCGATTGTTCATACACCGGAAAGTCTTGATGCTTTCAGAAGTCATTCCTATCTTCTTACATTACAATCGTTGTTGCATAGGTGATGATTAGTTTCTGACCGACGCTTTGATTTTTTTTTCTTCACTCGCTGAAAATGTTAAAAAGTATTTAAACTTTCAAACTTAGAATTCTAATGTGTGCATGCATTTGTGTAAGATGGGTAATTAACTCAATTTTGTAGTTAGTTTGGTTTATTTGAAGAAAATGCATTGGCGGCTTTTTATGTTTCCTTATTGTGTTTATTTTTTTCTGGTTGGGATGAATAATACCGCATTGCACTTGTATGATAATGCTAATTTACCCTCTATTTTTTTCAATTTACATCCTGCTTTCCCCTCCTTCGAACAATTATAATGTATTTCTGGAGGATTGTTGGAATGTAATTGGGCAATGCTATGCCTCCAAGCTCAAATTTTATCAATGAAGTACATATCCTGACCTATTGATCGATCTATTTGTCTGTTACAGGGAGTCAAGATGATTGGGTGTTTTATTACCAGAGGACTTGTGTATGTGCTACCTTCGGTTCTGGCTGATAAAAAAAAATGGTCCTATTAATTCCATTGCAAGATTCATATATTCTGCATTTGGTGTTGCAGGTTGGTGTTGGGTTATGCTTATCCTGCTTACGAATGCTTTAAAACTGTGGAAATGAACAAGCCTGAGATCGAGCAACTTCGGTTTTGGTGCCAGTATTGGTAAATTATATATTTGCATATGTGCCTTCAACAGCTTTAGTTGCAAGTAGTTACTAGTAAGATCTTGAATTTTCAGGATCTTGGTTGCTGGGTTGACAGTTTGTGAGAGGATTGGCGACATGTTTATTGGGTGGTAAGTATTTCGAAGTAGATGAAAACAAAATACTTCGAGTTTTATTCACGCTCCATTTGTGCATAAAGTTTTTGTTTTGTTTATTTGCCTGTGAAGGGTTCCAATGTACAGTGAAGCTAAGTTGGCCTTCTTTATATTCCTGTGGTACCCTAAAACTAAGGTCTGTGACCTTCTTTATGTATCAGTACTGAGTTTTAGATAGTTTCTTCCTTATCTTTTATAACTGTATAGTCTCTTTTACTTCCATATATTTCAGGGAACAAAATATGTTTATGACTCATTCTTTAGACCATATGTTGCCAAGCATGAGACAGAAATAGATCGCAATTTGTTCGAACTGAGGACAAGAGCTGGAGATATGGCATTTTTGTACTGGCAAAAGGCTGCAAGCTATGGTCAGAGTAGAATATTTGAGATTTTACAATATGTTTCTTCACAATCAACCCCTCCTCGTCCTTCTCAGGTATGTACTAGAAATATTTTGGTTTGAAGCATTCTATCATCTTGACTTAGTGTTTGATATGCTGCTAGATACTGCATACAATCCTACCTACCTCAATCCTGTATGGCATACCAAACGCACCTGATATGTATTGTGACTTTGCACAATAATTGTTCTTTTAACTCTTAAATTTTTCTTGTGGGGGTACCATAGTACGTTAACTCTTGAAAACTGTTGAGGATTAGATTGCAGTACCTATTTATGTTTTAGCCTCAAGTAGTCATATAGTCTAGTTTCTACTTTCTAGTGTGAATCCCTTTTAAGTATAATGCGCCTAACTTTGCCATTGAAAAGGCTTTGCATTTCTGTGCTCGAGTTATATCTCTTATTAGTTAGATGGGTCGACAACACGAATTGGTCTCGGTGAAAATTGTTTTCTTTTGAGATAATAAACGCGTTTTTTTTTCCCCGAAATCAGTTTCCTCTATCTGAATCTTTTTAGTCTTTTCTCACCCCCAGTTGTTAGCTATTGAATGTTTGCTTTTATCATCGAAATACTGCTGTTTTTTTACCGTGCAGACTGAACATCAAGGTGCTAAGATTGGACACCCGACATCACCAAATCGCAGATCAACTGCTATAACACAGCCGCAGAACTTAGAACCCCCTTCTCCTACTGTTAGTACGTCTTCAAGTAGGCTCCAAGAAGATGTGGTAGAAGAGGCAGGGCCTTCAGCAACTTCCACAGAAGCTACATCCTTGGACAGACCAAAATCATCATCTGCGCAGCCCCTTGTCAAGACCAGCAAAAATTTGAATTCTAGAGAGGAGAAAGTGATGCTAACTAATTCAGTGCCTCCTTCAGCAAGTGATAATGTTCAACCTCCTCAAAAAGACAACACTATAGAAGAATCCAAGCGAGCCACAGGAGCAAGACTGAGGAAAACACGCACTCGATAGAGCATAGATTTTTTTGGATTTATTGATGCTAATATGTTGTTTACAATTTATTATAGATCCATTAGCAGCATTTGAAAAACCATATTTTAAATAATTCCCAATTCTTTTATAATTGTATATTTTGGTCAATATAGCCGTTAGAACGCTTTTACAAAAAGTGTTTCCTGAGATTGACCTAGAGTCAGTTTTAAAATATTAAATTTTTTATTGATGAAAATTGAAAATAAGGCAAGAATTATTTTTTTAAAAGGAGCAAGCTTTTTACTTAAAAGTGGGAAAAAGGTAATTTAAAATATATCTGAAAATAAAGAAAATTAGTTTTACTAATGTGTTAGATTTATCCAAATAACACCCAAGTGACGAGAGTTTGACTTTATTTGCTAGGAAATATTGGGTATAACTTAACAGAACTAATGAAATTTTTCTTTACCAAATTAGTGATAATTGCCATCAAGAATGGAAGAGAATTTCAAAGAGATCGAAGCTCCTGTAGAAGTAATGCGTCAAGGCACCTAAGATCACATGAAAAAACTCAACAGCTGAGCTACTATATATAGAAGTGAACGTAACTAAAGCCTAAGCTTGGCAAAATCAAGCATGGCTAGAAGTTGCACAATGCATTCAACTCCTTCGAAGAATTCAAGTGAAGAACAAGTTATGCTAATCGAGACAGATACTATAAATACAATTAACTTCAGACCTATCCTAAGGTAACGAGGAGCCAGTGATTCTATCTTGAACAGTCCCAGGTTCATACACGTTAATACCGGACAAGAGCTCCCCACCCCCAACACACAACAGAAAATCAAAAGGAAAAAATGTTGGTTTATCCCATCCTAATTATACACAGAAGAGAAAGATTACAAATAACTTCCCATTAGTCATAACTTGCAATTGACCATCACCATTCACTCGTTAGTTGCTAAAATATACATTCCGCTTCTAAATGTAACAAACCCTGTTAAGTTATCTTCAGCAGCCACTTATTTCAACCTATATCACCAGCATGTGTTGATCTAAACCTGAGCTAGTGCTACACTTTTTCTTCATATCTACCGAGAATCAGTGCTTATATTTTTATCTCGGAAGTGCACTGACGATGTCCCTGTAACAGGTATTGATGGCATGCTTTCTATCCTTGTGTTGTGTTCAGGTTGCGTATCGTGAGCTTGCCGGCTGCATGTGTGGGGTAGGCTGCCTTGGGGGTCCCTGAAACCTCAAGGGTCGAACGGGAGGTCTGTTACACTAAGCTTGGCAAAATCAAGCATGGCTAGAAGTTGCACAATGCATTCAACTCCTTCGAAGAATTCAAGTGAAGAACAAGTTATGCTAATTGAGACAGATACTATAAATACAATTAACTTCAGACCTATCCTAAGGTAACGAGGAGCCAGTGATTCTATCTTGAACAGTCCCAGGTTCATACACGTTAATACCAGACAAGAGCTCCCCACCCCCAACACACAACAGAAAATCAAAAGGAAAAAATGTTGGTTTATCCCATCCTAATTATACACAGAAGAGAAAGATTACAAATAACTTCCCATTAGTCATCACTTGCAATTGACCATCACCATTCACTCGTTAGTTGCTAAAATATACATTCCGCTTCTAAACGTAACAAACCCTGTTAAGTTATCTTCAGCAGCCACTTATTTCAACCTATATCACCAGCATGTGTTGATCTAAACCTGAGCTAGTGCTACACTTTTTCTTCATATCTACCGAGAATCAGTGCTTATATTTTTCACATTGGAGGAAAAAATAAAGAAAGAAATTATATAAACATCTGGAATTGATGGCCATCGAATTTTTTTCTAAGGTGTTTAGTAACTAACAATCTTCTTTACCCCACATATCCATTGCACTGACCTCATGATCTGATTTCAACCAGTAATCATTATCCCTCTGCAGATAGAAACCAAAAGTATTGTTATTAAAAAGGTGAGGGAGGGGAAAAAACAACCATGTCTGAAGCCTGAAGATAAACTTACATCATCATCCAATGGAATTATTTTGTGAAAATCAGCTGATTGTGAGCTCGTTGAAGCATCCAATAATTTTGTGCGATTGACAGATATGTCATCATTCTTTTCACTTTTGCTACAAGTGCCATAAAATTAGTGTTAGGTACCTGTATCTAACGAAATGTTTGTATTTCTGGACATACATTATTTTACTGATTATTGTTCATGTGTACTTGAGTTTTTTTTTTTGGTATGTGTGCAGGCAAAATGTCTATACAAACGCTTATAGAGAGAGAAAGTGCAATCTGTTGCCAAGACATTTAAAGTAGGAACTCAAGTGTATGATCACATAGATAACCTCAAGAGATATACGTCGATTGGTCCATCAAGGCTTCGTAACGTAAGTCTGTAATGCTTCTGTGAGAAACCAGTGTCCTGTGGGAAAAAGTAGCCAATAAGAAATCGATATATATGATCTATCAATCGTGTCTATCAAGGCTACCGACCTCATCTGGATCAGGAACTTCTATACAACTAGCACGGGGAGCTTTAACGACGATGACAGTTTTATTCTATGTCAATTGCAGCATAGACACATTCTGTTAGATGGAACACATGAAAGATGGTGGCATGATAAAAATAGAAACCATGAGATTAACAAACCCTAAAACATGGAAGGCTCATGAGATCGTCTCCAGTCAGAAAAAGATTCCTGAAAAATGCAATTAAATAAGTGTCTAGCAAATGAAATCAAATACTGAGATAGAGATAAATCATCAAGAGAAAATATGGCATACTTTTGGCAATTCTGATCAGATCCCAGTTCTGATAGATGATCTAGTTTGTCCCTGGATAAATATCAGGTGTTAGAACAGCACCTAGAACTGCTAAACTATACAACTTACTTTTCCTTTAGCAATTAATCAAACCTTATGTTATTATCAATCCGACGTTCTTCGGCATATAGACGTTCAACTTCAGCCTGTAATGAAAGCAAATAATTATTAGTTGTCAAAACTTCATATAATAAGTAACCTTTCAAAACCTGCACAACCAAAAGTTTCTGCACTGAAAAACCTCAACTTTGAAATACAATATTGCATGCATAGGACGTAGCTTAATAAAGATCAACAGGTATTCTTATGCGAAATAAAGCTATAAATATCGAATTTTCAAACCTCTAACCAATCAAATGATAGTGATAACTATTCTCTGCACATATTAACCAGGAAAATCCAAAAACTTTGACAGAAGAAGACAAGTTTTGCAAATATTTTGTTACTGGACATCATTTGTCCAGTGGTCATATTTGTATTTGTAGATCATGGCAAATAACGTAGTTATTCTAATATTCTCCAAACCCCATTAGACTGTAACCACAAAATGACACCAGTTGGCATCGAAGAGCACCTTCAATTGAGACACTTGATCATGCAGCTCTCTTGGTCCAAATATCCCAGATCCTCTGTCATGAAGAAGCTCATTAATTGTAAGAAACAAAAGAAAAATAAAAATAACATCAAGTGTTCAACAGCATTACTTCCAGCGTATGTGATTCTTAGCAGTTTTCTCTATTAGACCTATGCCTTCAAGAACATTGGTAATGTCATAAATTCGCCTCTTCTGGACCTGTATAACAATAAGGAGCAATGTAAGCTATATTTTCAAATAGGTACAAACAATAAACCAGGCCGCCTTTAACTGTAAGCTATATTTATTAACAGCATTACCTCCAAAACTTCAGCAGTTCTGTTTAGATCAAGAGTACCATCCTCAGCCTCCTGGATCAACTTGATAAATTTCTTTGTTAACAAGCCTGCCAAAAGCATAGTCCATCACTTTCTAAACCCAAGTTGAAAGAGCAATTGGTGGATCTGACATAAGTTGAATGCCATCACTATTACAATAGAGTTCAAAACTATAAATATTCTCAATTTGCCTCACCTAAAGAACTGTCATACCGACAGCAGGCAGCCAGATTCAAGTTATCAAAAGGTTCTGCAAGAAAATAGGTATCAATGAGAACTCCATTCAACTTAAACTAATGACTATATTGTTCCAGTAGACATAATCCAAGTGGTTTGATATCACTTTACCCAAGTTTTCTTCCTTAATAACAGGTTTCCCAAGCCTTGAAGCTTTACGTCTGGCACTTGGTCTAGCATCAACACAAGTTTCAGTTCCATGTGAAAAATTGTTGACCGTTTTGGCCGTGTTATGAATTTGAGTAGTCCCATTTCCTCTTGTATTAGCTTCAAAGTTTCCAAGTTCATTTGATTGCTTCAAGAAAGATTTAGAGCTTCATAAACAACGACTATCGAGATTTAAAGACATAAAACGATGCCATCAGGCCAGCCAACTTGATTCGTTCTATATTACTCATAAAAGTGTTGAAAAATTGAACCTTTATAATTAAAGTTCAAGTCAAGTATCAATTACTAATAATCTACTTGGGCAAAAATAAACTACTCCTGAAGTACATTATGGTGAGAAAGTCCATTTGAGCTTCTCGAGTTCATATCTTCCTATCAATTGCATATAAGCCCAACTAAAAACCTCATCCATATTAAGAGTCTACTCCCTCACTCACATTCAGAAACTTCTTTAATCTGAAACTCAATGTGTTTGTGAGCAAAAACTAATAACTATCTATTGAGGATGATTATCATGCCAATTTACACCAGCTGTATTGATTGACTTTATCTGTTCATGCATCTTTTGAGTAACAAATTTCTAATCCCTTCAAAAATTCTTTGATTCCATAAAGCAATATAAAATTTAGCCAAAATTCATGTGATTGCTTTAAGAAGTAAAGTTATTCCATCTCGCATTAGACATATAAAGGAAGGCCCAAAAAATAAAATAAAAAACCAAGAACAAACTAAACCTGAAAAACAAATCTCAAGAACAGTCAACACAAACATTTGAGGCTCACATAACGAAAGAATTTGCGGACATTTCATAAACAAATAATTGATATGATACTTAAACACAGTTTTGCGTGCACGCTCACCCCAGAGACTTTAGCAGGATAGTAACTGGGTCCTTCACTAATTAATTCACGACCAAGTTCAAATACCGCAGGTTTTGTAACTTGAAGATCCTGATAAATTATTCACTAATCACATAAATGAACGCACGTTTATTCGTGTGTATACAATAGAAATAGATACACAGTCACAATACTACATTTATCATCATTAATTAACAAAACACGCACCGTAATGTTTTGAAGCACAGGGTGCGGCTTTGAATCCGGAATGCAAGAGATACGAGAGTGAGTACTGTCGTTGCAATAATTAGTTATATTATTAGGAGTGATTATATTCGAGTTTTTCGAGTTGGGGGATGGAATGAAAGGGTTCAGTCTTTTACGATAAGAAGGCATGACGCGCGGCACCGGCGAATGCGACTGTGTTCCTAAGTGCATTTGCGATACCGGCAAAGTTAAGCTCAGATTAAGGTTCAAATTATCACCTGAACTCGACATATAAAAAAAATTGAGCCAAAAAATGGGGAAAAATAATAAAAATACACAACATAAACCCTCTATTTCAGTTGGGGCGGCGGGGAGGGAGAAGGAGATTTATAAAAGTGATTTTGTAAGGAATATATAAGGAGGAGAAAGAGACCTAGTGGAAAGCAAGCATAAGAACAGGACGCCACCGCGCACCGCGGCGAGGGTGGACTGGGGGGAGGAAATCAGCGGGAAGTGGGGTTGGAGGCGGTGAGTTCGAATCCTCCTTACTGCCCGCCTCTGCCCTTTTCAACCATTGGCATGAATTAATATTTAATAATTAATTAATAGATATGAAGTTTTGACTCGGAAGTTCGGTTCGGTTCAGTGTAAAATTAGAATACGGACTCAAATACGAGCGCCTATTAAAACTACGTATTTAATTTTTCAGTTATAAATTATTGTAATTGTTGACTCATTGAAATTTAATTGACAGCGTCATTCTTGTTTCACTGTCCACTAGTTCGTGAGGTTGAATAGCTCTTTTTCATGTGTAAAAATTGTGTATCATTCTGATGGATCGATCAATTGCATGAGATAGTAAATGCAAGATTTGCCTTAGTTACAAGTGCATTCATTATTTGATTCAATCCCCAAGTGTCACGGACTGCAGCTTTACTTAAGTCTCGTGATCCTATCGCAACCGTAGTTTGCCCAATTTAGGCCGCACATTATTAATATTTCATTTAATTGTAAAATAGTTGGAAATTAGAAAAATTTAGTATGATTCTTCGACTTTTAAACGTCTACTCTTGTCAATCGGATTTTTGTTTCTAAATATATTATAGGAGGTATTAGTCTTTCAAACATTTTAAAACTTTCTAGTGTTCGCCCCCTACACTAGCCACTGTAATTTCCTGCTTTTGTCTATCGTAATGTTCAGATTTCAAACAATCAATAATCAAATTTATTTCAATTCCTGCACTAGCCATTGTAATTTTATGCTTTCGTCTATTGTAATGTTCAGTTTTCAAGGAATCAATGATTAAGTTTATTTCAATGCATTTCAATTTCATGTTGTAAGCTTTCTTTAAATTGTGATCAAATTTCATTTAGTCCTGAAACGACCGAGAAAAGGCGGAAGATAGTCTAGCGGAGCAGACTACTGCCGCACAATGTCCCTTTCTGTGCTAAGAAGAAAGATAATCCGTGAAACCAAGTCTAGGCAATCCAGTGGATTGGACAAAGTTTGATCTTGACTTAGAAGGAACTTCAGCTCTATGCTTAAGACGTGCAAGTCGAAAGGATCCTGCTTTTTAGTCTCTCTTTCTGCCTCACGTCCCCTGGGATCTTGGGGAATGACAATTTATGAGGTGCTAATATCTTATGCAAAATATATTTACTAAAGTGAATACGTTTAATAAGATCAAATTAGATGTGTGATAAAAATTTGTCAACTATTTTATGAGGTACTGATATTGTATCGGGACATATTGTCGCGATCTATCATTGTCCTCGTGTTATACGGGAGTCCATTTCACACGTCTTCGCTTACTAATGGTTCTCAAGATTATGGAAATCCTCCTGTTGGTGGGCTTCGATTAAGCACTTTATAAGTGATGATATGGGCACTGTTATTCCTGCTATTTTCTTTAGCCAATCTACACTGGATTTTGAGAAGTTTTTCATGCAGTTGTGAGCTATATGGATGGAAGCTAACCGGATTTTGCACGGAGGGGATAAGCAACGCAAGAGAAAGTGTGTGGCTGTTGATGCACGGGCCATACATTCATTAATTCATATAAAGAATAGATTCATTCTTATTATAATTAACGTCCCAAAAATAAATAAATAAATAAAGTTTACACAATTAAAAGTTCAAATAGTACCTTCTAAAACTGTAACAAATTTTTTTCTAAAAGATTATACACTGTTGTTACAAAGGATGCTTAGGATACCATCTGGTCAAAACTCAGTGAGCCAGGACTGGAAAAGGTTACATTGTTTGGGTCTGATCACTGCCGCTTATCCGAGTGCCACTCAGTATATAGCCCCCTGTTGCACTCATCTGCATGTGTGGATGAGTTCTTGATGGAAGAACCTGAGTATTTTTCAGAAACATTGGTAACTACTGAAGGAAACTTGATTTAACAAGGAAAATTTGAAAAACATTACATCAGTGTAAACCAAAAAAGAAGCACCCGAGTATATGATTTTAAGTTTTTAATGGGCACAATATGAACTGAATCTGAAATAGTTTTAGTTATGAAGTTTGACATGCTCCCATTGAAATCTGGGAGGGCTCAAAGGAGTTTGTATGAAATAAAGCCCACCCCCCTAACAAAAATCCCAGAACTAGCTTTTCAGTTAACCACACAATTCCAGTGACACGCAAGAAAATAGAGTTAACCTGATATTCACGTAGCGAAGGCTCAGAAATTTGCAAGCCTATGGCCATTTTCTCTGCCTGTAGATTGTTCATGCATGTGGCTAGAGGCTGCAAGAAAATAGAGTTAGATCAGTCCTGTTGCATGTATTTTCTAGGTCTCAAGCCCCCCACTCCACTGCACCCCATACAAAAATCATACATGCGCCCTAAAAAAACCAGCATAATGAGAACCAGTAACCAATTAAATACTACTTTTTCATTTTCTCGCTGATGATCAAAAAGAACTTCCATAATCAGGAAATAGATGTTTAATTATGTTCATCAAAGAAATAAGACAACCCAAAAAAATCATGTTCAAAGTTTCCATCAAATAAATAATTACATAACACCAGGCTTTAGTGCTAGCAAAAAGAAATTAGCAGAGAAGCTTGTGGAGCATACCCATTTCATGGTTAACAAAGAATAGATCATAAAGATAATAAATTTTCAAAACAGAAGACAAAGTCAACACTTAACCAAAGAGACATCTCTTTTAAGTTCTATCCCCTTACAAGCTTATATGTTTAGAGTACTAAATGATCATTGAGTTCGTACACTGCTACCTCATCCCCTTTTTTATCCAACAGTATCTGTTGCCTACAAGAAATGTGGGAGGGAGAAACAATTCTCATCTAGAAATTAGATTCGAACAAGCATGCATAGGGTAGCAGACATAAAAAATATTTATAATCATCCGATTAGAAGAATCTTCTATGCTTACAATTTAAGAAATTTCTGGTGCAGTGCAAATGACAAAGTGAAAGATCGCAATAGCACATATATATCAGTTGGAAGGACATAATGCACATTACAAACTTACTAAAGCAATTACCTGAAGATACTGATGGTAAATAGCAAATGATGCAGAATAGGATAGAAGTGAAAGGACTTCTTTTACAATACCCCATGGATCCAGGTTTGGAGCAGCGATTATCAAACTGAACACGTAAAAAAAAAAAAAAAAGGCACCAAAAAGGGGAAAAACTAGAAGTCAGAACCTTAAAATCATAAAGTGAGTGTCCCAAGAAAATGATTTGCAAACTGCATTCAACCTGGAAAATCCATTTTCCTTCCATAACTTAATGGCCTCGACTGGTGCTTTCTGACCAGCCTTTGTACCTTTTTTAACCTTTGGAGAAGCAGCAACATCAGTCATGATTTCCATATTCCCATCTTCATTTTCTTCCATGCTGACAGCATTTCGAGCTGAAGGAGATAAGATTTGTTCCTGTACATAAAGAAAATCATTACGGCGTACTTAATAGAGAGAAGGTGATAAAATAGAATGCTAAACCGCTGCCCACATTTTGTTGGCTTCTTATATCACTGGCATCTTCAAGTTGATCATTTGATGGTGAAGTTCCATTTTCATAGGGATGCAGTTCAGCTACCGAAGAGTGCACAATCCTAGACTCAGGGAAGATTGAATGTCATAATTTTCCATAGAAACTTAAAACCAAAAGAAAATAGCATTACATGACTCAGAAATAAAACAGATGGGAGTTGATTTTCCAGGCTACAAGAAAATGTACCTTTGGCATATGTCATTATTGAAATTGAACATCTGTACAATATTAATTGGATATGGTGCGACTCCGCGATATGTATTGCACACATAACCAGTACCTATTGAGCACAGAACACAACAAGGACACAAGTTGTGTTTCAAAACATTACCAGTATATTAGGAACTTTCAACATATATCTTAATAAAAAAAACCTTAGAATACATTGCTTGTCTCATTTGTCTTCGCAACAGGTATTAGACTTTAAATTAATAACATATAATGTTAACTTGATTATCCAAATAAGAGTATCTCCAAGAGGCTCTTTAAAAGTGAAATACTCTATATTTTAAAGAATCGACACTTAAAATTATGTTCCAAGAGATTCTTCAAATTAACATTTTCAAATAGCGGGCAGGTTTGACTCTCCAAATTTGAAGAGCCAAATTCACTCTTTATAATTAAATGTATTTAAAATATTTCAATTTTCAATACTCCATATATTGACCCAATTAAATAATATATACAAAGAAAATGGAGGGAAATAATATAATAATTTGGAGGGAAGCTAGTAAAAATAAAAAATAGAGAAAAATAATAAATAGCTATTTGGAGTCATAAAATTACTAGTTAAAGATAAAGAGGCTATTGGAGTATTTAGATATTTTTACTCTCTAAATTTATAGATGCTTTTTAAACTACAAAAGATGCTATTTAGAAATAGAGAAGTCTCTGGAGATGCTCTAAGTTCCTCCAAATATTCCAGTTGGTGGCAACAAGTGAAATACATGGTTAAATCGGAACACAAAAGTCACATAATCAACAATATGCCGCGTACACAAGTGGTTCAGTGCTTCTGGTCTGTATATGAAATTTTACGTATTTGTCTTTTAGATGGTCTCCGGTTTCTTCAGACAGCTGTTAAAGTTCAACTGAGATTTTCAAGGATCAAAATTTCTATGAACTAAAAAAAAATCAGATACCTCCCAAGCGTTCTGCCACAGCACCAGTAACAATACCATCAAGCATATCAACTAGAAGTACATCTGAGTATGCACTAACATTAGCCAAAGAAAGCAGAATGGATAATGTGTCCACCCGCAAAAACCTGACAATTAAGTAAATTAAAAGTTAGACCTTTTAATTGACAAGGCCAATCATGTCCTTTCACACGGCATAATTAGTGATTACTGTAATGTGATAAAGGTTTTTTCAAGAAAAGTTGGATGAATCCTAAGTAATGTTTGAATAAATAATTGTTAACATAACTCTTCCTTTTGAATGGCAGACAGTTTTATAATTCCCATGGTGATGCAAGTGTCATATTTGTGATGCAATATTAAAATGCATGACTCGGTTATAATTTATTTGAATTAGGACACAGATAGAAGAAATGACCAATTAGTCATAATCGAGGATTGTTTAATAGAATGCCTGCTTAAAATAAAAAGGCCTCACATAAGCTACAAGAACAAGGTGCAATACTTTTTCAGTTGGAGTACTAGATTTTAGCATGAAAATTGTAATAACATGACAGATTCAAATTTGGTTACAAGTTCCCAGTTTCTCACTCCGTCAGCCCTGGGAACAAAAGAAAAATGAACGAAAAGCAGCCACCTATATATTGCTGAAAACACAGAATATGATTATCTCAACACTCGTCTGTGGAACAGTTGAACTTAACAAGTGATGTAATACTTACCCAATTCTCTCAGCATGCTTTTTGAAGTATGCCTCGCATATGCTGAACAGAAAAGGATGCAATATATTACCATTGGGAATCATGAAGAAAAACCATTTGATTTGAAAAGCACTTCCAAAATAGCTAGGAGATGACCATACATATACCTTCACTCAAGAGTAATAAATAAAAATCAAAGTGAAGTGTTTGAACAACTTGCAAAACTGATTAATAAAAAAACCTATTGCTAAAGAAGATTTAAAACGTCCAAATTTAGCCAAAAAAAAAATCATCAGAGAGGGGAGTCCTACATTTTCTGTTCACATCTGTACATTAAAAAATTGACTTTTTTCAGATAATTACTAAATTTTGTCTTTACAAATATAACTATTCTTAGTGATTCTTTGATTTCTTTCATATGTTGATCATTCGAATACTAGAATACTTTGCACAATCCAAACTAAATCAGGCTTTAGTTAAGATAAGAAAAGATGACAAGAATTTTAGAGCTCAAATATCCTAAAACCTCTGGTTGCGCAGCATGTCAATAACCTCAGAACCTCATTTTAAATTAAGCTCTTTAAATTACTTATCATGTCAATTGCATTCTTTAAGACCAAGTAGACCAGGTGCTAGACTCCGCATGTGAGCTCCAAACGTGTACAAACTGAAAGTAGCCACTTCAGGAGAACGTTAACAAACAATTACCACTTCTGATAATCTTAAAAAAGGATTTTGACATGAGCCTTAGAGCAGAGGACAACTACATACAGATACTAGTTTAAATTGCACGATGCAGAAAATGATTGGTAACAGAACTCGTTAATCTTGTATTCTTGCACCTACTAGGCAGTCACATCTATAGCAGAGTTCCAAGTCAGCTGCCACACATTAAGAGCAGAAACTAACACGGATGAATGAGAAAATCCTGACTACTGATTGAAACTTGGGCTGGCTTTCAATATTAGGTATTAAAATGGACACCAACTATTTATGCACTATGAAACATGTAAACATTTTCTGAAAGCTCAAATCAATTAAAGAAATTTCATTAGTATTACAATATAATAGTTCCTTAAGATATTATAATTTCATTACTGTTATTACAAACATGATGCCTAACCGAACTCACCACAAGGACTAAAGATATTAGAGCTGACCTTCGTGCAAAAGGACGTCTTAGAAGTACTCTTGGCGCATATTTCTTCTGCTTTTTAAGCAGATATTTTTCCTGCAGAGAGATTTATAATCAGATACATTTTACAACAAAAAATTACCTTTTATATATATAAGCCATGAGCACCTGTGAAAAGGCTGTTTTCTTCTCGAATGTTGCACTATTTGCAACAAGGGCTTTAACTATTTCATCCCCAGACGCTCCCTTTCTGCATCAAATCCCATCAAATGCTATAAGGATGGATACAATTGGTAGGAGCAATACTTGGAAGAATATTGATTGACAAGCAAATGCCAGAGTAAAAAATTGCAAATAAAACCCTCAACAAAGAAGAGGTTAAATCATAGCCACAGACACAATGACACGTGATTTTCAAAAAACTTGGAGACCAACATGTCAGGACACGTTAAATTCTAGAGAATTGTAAATTTGTATATTATATAGTTAATGTTAATGTTATACTTTAATGTCTTATTAAGCCCCTGTTTCGCTCAAATTATTTGGCCAAAAGTATAAATACAATGACACGTGATTTTCAAAAAACTTGGAGACCAACATGTCAGGACACGTTAAATTCTAGAGAATTGTAAATTTGTATATTATATAGTTAATGTTAATGTTATACTTTAATGTCTTATTAAGCCCCTGTTTGGCTCAAATTATTTGGCCAAAAGTATAAAAATTCTGAGCGTTATTTTCAAAGAATTAGAATTTGTGTGAGATAAAAAAGTCAAAGATGGTGGTTGATTTGATTGGCAACGGTGCATTTTTTTCTACAAATGGAGCAAAAATGTGGAGCAAACAAGCTGTAAAATAAATAATTTTTAGTTCGGACTTTTTTAGTGGTGAAATCTTTTAAATTGGATGAGTAGTTTTATAATATATAAGCTAATCATGTCTTGGAGTGTCCAAGAAGATCCAGTATCCTCGACATGACATGTTGATGCTCACATTAGGATGCATGCCTAACATTCTAACATAGGTTGTGTAATAGATTTTGGCAAAATTTATAAATTATATATAAATGGTCAAATGAATCCACAGTACTATATACTCATCTATCAATCATGTCTATCTATTCATAAATTAAAATTTTCATAAATTCTTCCCAAGTTCCCATGCGGAGACATAATAGTTTTGCTACAGAAATTCGAAGGTTGTCCAAAGAAAAATGATTTTATGAGTCAAAACAATGCAAGAGTCACAAAATTGATTTTAATGATCTTCTATACAATATTACCAAGTCATGTGAAATCAGATGCTATGCAAAAGGGGGACCTTAACATATATATAAGAAAATCTAACCTTCGCATCTCATCTATATCTTCACCAGTGAGACTCTGGGCACTGTTATTATCAACCAACATTCGGTTATCTCTGGACTCCTCCATGATTTGAAGATTATTACCTAATAGTGATGATTCAGCAAATATATCAGCATTGAAAATTTTGTTGCTTAAAAGAAGTAGGAGAGCAACTATGAGTGATGTCTTAGAATGGACCTACAAAATTTGAAACAACACAACTAGAGTATATAAACTCATTGCACAATGAAAAAAAAAAAGAAACTCTCTTCCACAATCTCTTGACTGCTCAGTTTCTTTGGGCGTTTCTCGTGTACTTCAGTCTAATTGCTCTTCCTTGCTTTTCATTTTTTTCATGTGATTTGTCATTGCCATTGTCATTGAAGAAAATCTTCCCTTACTTTCAGAACTTAACATTTTAGCTCACACATTTTACTACTGCTTAAACTGTCCAAATAAAAGTAATATTGGCAATAAAAAAAAGGCATTAAACAAACAGTGGATTGCTAGAAAATATAAAGAAATCTTCCACGCAATTAATCAAGCAGCTCATTAAGACTTAAATAATCATCAACAAAGTTAACGACTAATGAGTTCATAACACCTCAATTTTGTCCCCTCCGATATCAGTTTAACACTAGATCATCTCGAGTTGGAGAGTAGATTATTTACCACATTTTGCTAGTTCATAACAGTCTTCAGATTAATGCTTGATCACTGTATGTAGATACATAATACCACAAACTCGCATATACTACAAATAACGAAAAAGATGCACAATGGAACGAAATCAATTTATTGAAGCAGTAAAACTACGAAACAGTATACGGCCGAACAAGAAGACAGTAAAAACAACTTATTAGCAAAAAAATTGTAATTTCCGGCAAAACTGAGCAGAAAAGTAAACCTTCAGTAGATTGCAAAACACGGGATAAAACTGGCCCTTCTTTGCCATCCTTCACTTGAAAGGAAGACCCAAAAGGACACCCAATCAAAGGCTGAAGTGATAAATTCTTGTTTCCAATTTTTATTTTCCTGCAAATTAACAAATATTTTTTTCAAAAATGTATCATGTATATGTGTATGTCCTGCATGTGAATGAGAATAATGGCTTACGAGCCAGCAGTGAGACGAGCAAAAAGCACTCGATCGCCATCATTTATGTCAAGCAAGACACTGCAGCCCTCCCAAGTGGTTCTACGGTTTTGATCATTACACGTAATTCCTTCAGATTTGCTTATCGACATATCTGATATTAATGAATCCATCTTTATCGAGGAGAATATGATCAATTACTTTTAGGGTTCTCCAATAATTGGATTGAATTTGTTTGCACGAAGGGTTTAGGGGCAAACGTAAACCCTAAGTAGATTTTTTTTCTTTCTTTTTTTTTTTTTTTCAATCTGAAATTGCCCGAATTGGACATATTATGAATAGTGTTGGGCTTCGCAACAAAGGCAAGAGCTTGTTTTACTGCTTGGGCTTTAGCCCACTAGGGTGCCAGAAATCAATTTTTCTTTTTGAGGAAATTACACTAAAACAGAATTTTAAAGTTTGTATTTCAAAAATCAGATATAAAGTTTACTTATTCATAAATTAGATAATTATTCAATTATTAATATTAATAATATTTTTAAATTAATCAATTTATCCAAATGTCCCCCACACCACACCACACCACATTCAAATTCACTCCAAACCTATTTTCATATCCTTCCCTCTTTCTCTATCTACCATTTTTCTTTTCTTTTCTTTTCTTTCTTCATTGGAGTGGCGCCTCAGCACGGCTGGAGTAGCGACGCTCAGATCGGAATAGTGGCTCTCAGAGCGTCGATGATCTGAGTCGCTACATGTAGCGATGATATGTTCGCCGCCACCTCAGCAATTGTGTTTTTTGCGACTCCTTTACATAGCTGGAGCAGAGACGCTCAGATAGGAGTAGTGCGTCGTTGTGCAATTTTGTGTTTTTTGTGGTAGTTTGTGGTGGTGCGTCTTGTTTCTTGGTGGTTTTGTGGTGGTATTAACAGTGTTTTGTATTGGTCTCTCTATCTTCACTGGAACAACATCGTTGTGCGCGGCAATATGTTTGCCGCCACTGCAACAATTTTGTGTTTTTTGCGGTGGTTTGGGGTGATTTGCAATGGTGCATCGATGTTTCTTTGGGGTCTTGTGGTGGTGTTGACAGTGTTTTGTGGTGGTTTCGACCGCGATGCTGCTAGTGGCAGTGGTGAGATGGTCACAAATGTTGGTGGCGATCACATATGATTTGGTTGATTGTGGCGGTGGTTTGTAGTGGTCACAAGTGCTGGTGGTGGTCAAATTTGGATTTTTTTAATGTTTTTTTTTGTTTGCAAATGGTTATGTTTTAGTGGTGCTTGTTGTGGTGTGATAGTGGTGTTGGTGGCGACGGTGGTGATGGTGGCTGTGGCGGTGATGACGGTGGTTGTGGCGATGGTGTTGGTGGTGCGTTTCTGTTAGTGGTGGAGAGAGTTGTTGGTGTTGGTGGTGATGACCGTAAAAAAATTTGTGATTTGTGACTAATGAATAATATATGACTTATTAATTTGATAGATTTGTGATCGATGAATAAATTATGACGTATAAATTTTTGATTTGTGACCGATGAACAAATTGTGACCTATAAATTTTTTGAATTGTGACCGTAAAATAATTTGTGAGATATGAAAATTGTGATTTGTCACCAATTAATAATATGTGACCAATTATATGGAATTGTAACCAAATTATATGAAATTGTGACCTTAATATATTTAATTAATAAAATATATGTTTAATTAATTATTTTATAAATAAAATTAAAAAAACTCTGAGATTTGAAATTTTAAACATAATCTCTTAAATTTGAAATTGGTAAAACTAAACCTTTTAGTTATGAAATGTTCCATTTTTCTTTTTTCCATGTACATCTCTCTATGGATTTAGGACTATTGGAGATGGCTTTCGAGAAGTTTAAAAGGAGTTTTTGATATTTAAAAGTTTCTTTTTGACTAGCTTGATTAATTTTATGAAAATGTTTCTTCTTATTAGAAGAGTTTTTAATGAAAAATAATTTAATATTGTTCCGCGTAAAAATATTTTCGAAATAAGAAGCTCTCTTAAAAATTAGTTTTTAAACAAAAATTCAGTTACCTTCTCCAAGAAGATCTTTTACAAGAAGCAAAAATTATGCTAAACGGACCCTTACTCTATGATATCTACATCTAACTTTTTTTTGTTTTCTTTTTTTTTTTAAGATTTTATGACTTTATCGAAGAATTTTTAACATTTGCAAAGTTGGTAGACAACTTACACATTCAATATTTATCACGTTACTAGAAAAAAATATTATATAACGACATTGTTTAATATTGTATACCATCAATCAGCAGTGAAATGTTCAAATGTATTTTCAATCTTAATCAATTTTTATCGTGTGATACGAGAAATTCATTGTGTTTCAGTCATTGTCATCGATAATAATTGATCTTTAAGGTCAATGTTTGCTGCAATACGTCAACAAAATTCCATTCTTAAGTGGACCATTAGACAACTGCTTGTGTTATGTATGAAGGGTTAAGTGGGGTGCTGGTGGTTTACTATGCGATAGATATTGTTTAAATTCATGTGAATTTATTTAAATAAAATGAGTTTATGCATCCTTGAGCTAGAATTCACCTTGAATTTGACGTCGAAATGATTTGTCATACCTATCTCCATCTCTCATTTAGTCATGCTATACTCTTAGTGCACGACTCGATCTACACCTATTAGGATGACAAGTAAACACTAAAGACAGATTCGATAAGTAGTAAACATAGTTTAATATTGATCTTCGCAAAATAATAAAAATTGTTGAAATAATCTTAACAACGGAAGATGAACCTACTATCTTCTCAAAAGATAGTGCATTTGGTCGAGCTGCTCCACTTCGAATGATGCTAACCGCTACAAATTTAAATTTGATGCACCAAAAGGATAAATGAAGAGACATTAGAAGATGCAATTTGGCGTGACATTGCATTTATCGAAACTTACACTACCTATCACATCTTATATAACGACTCATTATCATTACCACTACTAATCTTCTACTTTACCTAATTGCACGTCTGGTCTCATGCTCGGTATCCATTGACTGAACTTTCATTTACCTTGTGATTCTTCTATTTATTCGATTATAACACTTTAATCAATCTTTTTAGCAGAGGGGCCTTCAAGATACAAAGGACATTGATCACTTTTAGCTTCCTTATGTTCCCACTTTTTATCCAGGGAAAAAGAAAGGAGAAAGAACAAAGGAATAACTCCAAGTGAGCAAATAGTGATGCATGTTACTTGTATAAACATCAAACTTAGCAGTCTTAATTCTTCACGTGTATTGTTTAATCATTCCAATCTAATTTTTGGGCCTAAAGCACTCAAGTAGTATTGACCACTCGATTAATTCTCATTTTGACTAGGTCATCGTAACATAGTCAAGAAAAATGATGTAAGTTGAGATTTTTCGTAGGTTAGACAATTTTCGAGCCGAACCGATGAATTCTCATTTTGATCAGGTCGTCATAACATGGTCAAAAAAATGATGCAAGTTGAGATTTTCTATAGATTAGACGGTTTTCGGACCAAATCGTTGATCGATACAATCCGAAATTTATAGAATTGCTCCGAATTCTCAAGTATATTCAGGAATACTTTTATTTACATTCACATTATTCTACTATGTAGAATCTTGAACAATTGCTCAATAAGACAAACATATCATGGGGTTAATATAAATTACACAACATTGGAATTAAAAAATAAACTTTATTACAGTGAAGATCCACTCCCCCACCCCACCCCAGTGACCCCACCCCACATATTGTCTACTCTTCTCGGATCCCTCTCCATTAAAGGAATTCCTGTCAAATTTCAAGAGCATCTCTCTGTGTACACATCTTTCATGAAAAAGAGAATTTGTAGTGTAACCGAACTTCTCTTCCATTTTCTATCACTTCTACTTTTCATGGCAGTCCTCAGTTTCCCACCGGAGCCGGCTGCGGCGGTGGCCAAGAAACAACTGTCCGAGCGCAAGAAAAAGCACCAGAAGAATAATCAGACGTCGTCTTCTTCATGGAACCAAATCAAGAACTTGCTCAGTTGCAAACAAATCCAAGATTCAAAAATTCACGATCCTTCAAAGAATAACACTGCAACTTTGTTGGGCTCTTCCTGCAGTTCTATCTGTCCATTTGGAGATATTGTTCATGGCAACACAAGGGTCGTTCACAGGGCCGATAACTCGCCGGGGCAAGAAACGTGGCTTTTGAGCAAGAAAAGTAGCAATTGGTCTTCTTCCTCTTCAAGGTCAATTTCTAGTTCAGTGAGATCAAGTGGTGGTGGTGGTGGTGCAACATATATAGCAGGCTCATCCAGAGGCATGCAATTCAGGAAGCTTTCTGGGTGTTATGAGTGTCACTCCATTGTTGATCCTACCAGGTACCGAACGACCTCATTAAAAAGTTAGGAAATGACGAACTTATTTATTTAGATCTTTAACATGAAGTACGATTTTTATATATCAGTAGGTGATACTTCATATTGTCAACCTAGTATAATTCTTTCCATTATTGACAATTTTACGATGAAACCTTTGCTGTCTCGTGATTATATTAATAACGTTCGAATTCCTGCTAAATAAAATGTTGCCCTAAAAGAAAAATAAATTCTAAAAAGTCCATGTTTGGTGAAGATTAAAATCAGATTTTTAGTAATGAAGTCTGTAGTTGACTACCGATTTATTGTTTTACAGGTATCCGTTGCCAAGAACAACTATATGTGCTTGCTCAGAATGTGGAGAGGTGTTCCAAAAAATTGAAAGCTTGGAACATCATCAAGCCATTAGGCACGCAGGTACATTTTAGTAATTACATTTGCTGTCTTTTTTCGTGTATAGCCCAAATTCTTCAATAATTGTATAAATTATTATAAATTAGCTAAAAAATACGACAAAAGGCCGATGTTTTTTTGACTTTTGTGCCACTTGTTTTATCATTCTAGTTGGGGTAGGACACTTATGGTCATTGTATTGTTTGTCCTAATTTGAAGGGTTACGTAATTTGTGTCTATGTCGATAATGCATTATTTTGTGTCCCATCAAATTATTAACTGTGAATTGTACCTATCACTTGTATACTTCTTGTTCATGTTCTACATTTCAGTATGACGTAGCTAAGATAGGCAGAGAATTTTGGCATCGGTCCTTAATGTATTGCTTCGGTTGTAAGTTTGGTCCCCAACATATTGCCTCACTACTAAGTTAGGTCCCCTACGTATTGCTTCGGTAGTAGTTTTGTCTTCCTTCTACAAAGCACGATCTCTTCTATATATGTCAAACTATCCGAAGATCCAAATATAGATTCTTAATGCATTTGTCTATAGGATGTGAATATTGCCTAACAGTAGAATTAATCTAGATTATGTGTTTCAAATTCATGATTTATGTTGATTATTGAAGTACAAATAAATAATTGCAAAATTAGTATACATTTTGTTTGTAAGAGTAGCGTTTTCATACCCTGAACTTAGTATTTCTTGCATTTATATTTTTCATTTGGTTCTTTTTAGTTTCTGAAATCGGTCAAGAAGATTCAAGCCGCAACATAGTGGAGATTATCTTCACATCAAGTTGGCTCAAGAAGGATAAATCGATCTGCAACATTGAGCGAATATTAAAAGTACACAATACTCAACGAACAATCCAACAGTTCGAGGACAGTAGGGATGCAGTTAAAATACGTGCAAATAGCAATACCAAGAAAAACCCTCGGTGTGCTGCAGATGGGAATGAGTTGTTAAGGTTTTACTGTGCAACACTCATATGCTCGCTTGGCACACGTGGCTCAACTAGGTTGTGCGGATCCTTTCCAGATTGTGGAGTTTGCACTATCATCCGACATGGCTTTCAAGGAAACAAGGTGAGTGGGATCCGCACAACTGCTGGTAGTGGGAGGGCCCACGATTGCCTTGGTCATGGGGACGTGCGAAGGGCAATGCTTGTGTGTCGTGTAATAGCTGGAAGAGTCAAGCAAGTAGTAAACAATGCAACACTTGAAGAAGAAGGAATTGGCATGTCGCCTGCTCGCTCTTATGATTCTGTATCTGGATGTGCTGAAATTTACTCGAATATTGAGGAATTATATGTTTTTAATCCAAGGGCAATTCTACCTTGCTTTGTAGTTATTTACAAAGCAATTGAATCTTAGGTTAAAGAGGATATACACCTTTTACTTGGTGGTTTTGTTTTACCCTAAAGTAGCTCGTGGTATCAAATCACGCGACTAATTTAGGGTTGGCTAAACTAGAAGCTGAATTATTCTTGTATATGCACTCGATGCTTTTTATATTAAGCCATTGTTTGAGGCACATTAAAATTTTCATTTTCATTCTCCTACTCATTTTCAACAACACATTCTTCAATAAAATAATATTTTCCATCACATCAATAACTTTCCTTTCTTTTTCAAACACACATTTCTATCAATCTACTATTTCAAAATACATTCTTCCAAAATAATATCCATCTAAAGGAAACAATTTTTTTCCAATAAAAAACTTGTGGAATAAAGCCCTTATTTTACACACATTCTTTTAAAATATATTCTTTCAAAACTTATTTTCAATCACATATTTTTCAATAAAATAATATTTTTTGTCACATCAATAACTTTTCATTCTCTTTCAACCACACATTCTCCATCAATTTACTATTCCAAATACATTCTTTCAAAATAATGTGACACAAACACACCCTAACATGATTTATTTTACCAAGTTTCCCCTTCTAATCCCTCACTGGTGACCAAAATATGCACAAAATTCCGATCCGAAATTGAAGCAAATTACTAATAGTTGCAAAATGAAAATTGAGAATTGAACTTTATGTCGATCCAACATTTTCGAAACGACAGAAAAAAATTATTGATGGTGTGGGTCTTCTTCTATTGAAAAGGTTAAGGAAGAAAAAATTGGGAGGGGACAATTGTACGATAAATCGTAAGTTATGATTATGAAGGACTAGACGACTGTGTGTTTCCGTGATTAAAAAGCAATGCAGCAAATGGATCTAGTAGTGGGCTAAAAGCCCAATGGCCCACTTTAAGAGTATTCACAGGGCAAAAAGCCTAATGGATCAATTTAGAAAGCCCACCGGAAAGACGCACTCCTATAACCTATTCCTCCTTTACAGCCGTTGCAGCTCCATTACCTGCAAAGTCTCCGGTACAGGTAACTCAATTATTCGAATATTTGGTGCTGATTTGAATAACGTCTTATTTTCTTGATTTAAACTTTCGCTTAATAGTTTGCTGTGATTAAGCTGTATTGTATATAGGTTTAATGTTATTGCATAATATTAGTTTTTGATTATGTACATAATATGTATGAAAAAATGCACTAAAGAAACTTCTTTTGCCTTAACCCCCCCCCCCCCCCCCCCCAACGCCCCCTCTCTCTTGAGGAAATTAGTTGGGAGCTATTATATATAACTGTAAATAATCTGTATATGTTCCTTGATAGGAATTGACTCTCTGATCTGAATTCGCAGATAATCTGCATCCACTTCTCTTTTGTGGGTTTTTGTTTTCATGATAAACGCATCTATTCTTATTTTGCTTTATTGATTATTAATTAGAAGAGATTATCTTAATTCCAAGCATCACTTTCTTTGTTTTAAATTAGTTCTGTTTCAGTGCTCTTTTGCTGCATTTCGTATTTTTCTAGTTGTTTTGTGTATGGGCTGATTTGATTTTTTTTTTCTTGGTATTCCTGCTATAGAATCTTGCCAGTTATTATGGTATGATCCTTGATGCTGCGAGAGCTAGAACATTTTGCATTGAAGGACTCTTGGCTTGCTCGACCGTCATATTTACTGTCGTGCATCATAAGAGAGGTTTGTGTAGTATGAAAAGAGCAGGGGTAGATGATTCCTCTGGTTTGTGTCCCCCTGTTTCTGATGCAGAATTGCATGTTTTCCCATCTTTATCCGTGAGGACTGAGCAAAAATGTCCATCCTCAGAAGTTCACTCGACCCCAGAAATTGAGAAGAAGTATGTTCATCGCGTTTATGATGCAATTGCTCCCCATTTTAGTTCTACTAGGTTTGCAAAATGGCCCAAAGTGCAAATGTTCTTAAACTCTTTGCCTAGAGGATCGCTCGTCTTAGATGCAGGATGCGGAAATGGGAAATACTTGGGCTTGAATCCAGATTGCTATTTCATTGGTTGTGATATTAGTCCTCCTCTTGTCAAAATATCTGCAGATAAAGGGCATGAAGTTTTAGTTGCTGATGCCGTAAATCTTCCTTACCGAACTGGTTACAGCGATGCTGCAATTTCCATTGCTGTGTTACATCACCTGAGCACGGAAAGCAGGAGGAGGAAAGCAGTAGATGAATTAATTCGTGTTGTTAAAACAGGCGGCCTTGTCCTAATTACAGTTTGGGCTAGGGAACAAGAAGATAGATCATTGATTAACAAATGGACTCCGCTTACTCAAAAGTATTTAGAGGAGTGGATAGGTCCTGGTAGCCCTCGAGTTCGCAATTTATCATCTACATTCGCTCTAGAAAGCATCCCTGAAATTGTGGAAAATGGACCTGGGGAGCAGTCAAACGATTTTCCTGCCAAATCTTCAGATGTTGCATCACATGAAATTGTGCAATCGAACTCTAGACATGGAGATCAGTCATTGGCTTCTAAAACTGAAGAGGACTGTGCATCCCAGCAGGAATATTTTGTTCCTTGGCACTTACCTTATCATCGAGCTGAAGTGAGTGGAGCTTCTGCCAGTGCTTTAGCTAATGGTCTGGCTAGGAAAGATGATAAGAAGGGCGCGGTGGTGTACAGTAGATATTATCATGTTTTCAGTGAAGGTGAACTTGAAAGGTAAATAATTGCTTTCTATTCATAATTTCATTTGTTTAAATAATGCTGTCTATTATCTATTCATTTTTAATAAATGCTTGCTAGTTGCTATGGTTTTCATTTCGGATCAGCATGTATATTGTCAAAATATATTAGAGTAGTGACTCAACTTGCAATATGAAGCAGTTAGCTTATCATTGTTGGATATCCGGTTTAATTTGGTTTTTGCTAATAATTATGGTCTTTGAGAAGTAATATTAAGGCACCATTTTAGTTACTGTTTTGATTAATTTAACATTTAATCTTATGCAAAGCAATATCATTTACACAGTTTCATCATTTGATTTAATGTTCTATTCTGTATTACTATCTGCAGGTTAGTGTCTAGAGTGAACGGTGCGGTCATTGTTGACAGATTTTATGACAAATCAAATTGGTGCATTATTCTCGAGAAAACTCCGTGATGAATTACAATGTGGTGGTCAATATTGCAATTGATGAAACTCTTTCGTCTTGCAACCAAGGAGAACAGTGCACGAAATAATTAATATTTCAGGATAGACATCGCAAAGAAAGCAAGATCTGAAAGTGCTTTGTGACAAGGAACCAACATTATCGAATAGTTTTGGCGAACCTTTTGAGGGAGCCCCACTTTCATGCTCGAAGTGAAAACGAGTCCACGTACAAGTTCTCTCCTTGATTGTGCATCTCGAGGGTTGCTTGAATGGGTACCATATGACCCATCTTTTCCTAACACAGTTTTTCTTTTTAGTTCACTGGTCTTGTTTTTACTGTATCATTACTTTCTTTGTAAGAGGCATGTACATGATTATCTCATGAAAATTCTACTTCATGTTGTTGCTATTGCTACTGGAACCAAAAGAATAAGTATATGAATAACTTGTGCATTGATTTTGTTAACATTCTGAAATTATCTATATTTCTCGAAGTTTGATTTTCTCTCTTTATTTGCCCTGAAGGTGAACTTCATCTTTCATGATGATTTTGTATGGGATCTTCATCTTGATACCTGTATTGGGATTCTTTGCCCCCTTTGGTAGTATACGATCTTTCTTTAGTCAATTTGTTAGGGGGAAAATTCTGTAGCCACATTCTTTGGTATGTTAGGTTGAGTTTAAACTTGTATGTTTCTGTTGTAAACACGTCTCTTCTGAAATTTTCTTAGTCCAAAATGAGTAAAATCCTTCTTTAGTAAGTTGGGCGGTATAATACCGTACAATATTTATGACAGACAAGTTATAGGGGTTGCCTGGTGGAGATTTTTGGCCTGATTTTAAGCATTTTTTTGACCATTTTTTAAGCGTTCAGCTGCAATTATTGACTCTCCCTCTCTCATGTGGGGCCTACTAACGGCCATCATTTCAATTCTAATTCATGGAGAATCAAAACCAGACAGGCACATAGTTGCGGGCCTTGCAGCTTATGCTCAAGATTTCGAATGAATTTGGGTTTCGGAAGGATTGCTTTGTTCTTTCCTTCATGAAGGTTCTCTTTGACTACATATATAGGGAGTGATCTCGATCTTGATTATTGGATTCTATTTAGACAAGCACCGGGCTAGTCTCTATAGTTTGACCATATCATAACCCAACCTCGAGTTAATCAACTCGAGGTCTTCTCTTTCCATTTTTATTTTTCATCCTAACAAGCAAAGCCAACATGGAATTAATCATAAGTTGTGCAGAATGCTGCTACTCTGAGACAGTGATTATTGTGCCAGAAACCCTTTTGATTAAACATATTGTTAGTAACAAACAAGCACTGAACATATCATTAAGCCACAAAAATGTAAAGTCTACATTTGGACTCATGATTTCTGGAAGATGGATTCACTGGACAAAGCTGGACACTCATCATTGAACTAATACTTTTATAAGTCCTTAATTTTACAAACTATGAAAGTATTCAACTATCTTAAGAACATTTAGGTGGTCCTTGTCTCTTCGCTTCTTGACTTCTAAAACAATCTTTGTAAAAGATATAGTAGCATAAGTATATGCCCCTAACTAACTGGACACTTCCACATAAATTGCACTTCTCAATCGTACTTGTGAAATGCGAGTCATGATTATACTCTTTCTCGTCCAAGGGTTCGAGTCACTAGGCAATCCCTCTCGATTATACCCAGACGATGTAGAACATGCTAGCAAAGTCTTCTCTTGAACAATCTTAGACGAACAATGAGTTTGTAATAGATAATTAGAAGTTTAAGAATACATAGGCGCAGCCTTGGCCAACGCAAACTAGGTCATTGCCGTGGGTCTCAAGATCTGAAGGACATAAAAAAAAATTCTAATAGCTTAATAAAAGTTTTCTTTATTTCTTTGAGTTGGGCCATTTAGTCATTTAAAAAGCAACAACAAAACAACAAAATAAAACTAAATAAGAGGCCTAAAGTACTTTTGACACTTAACTTACATTCTTGATTTAAGGAATAAAATGGACATACAATTAAACTATTAACTAATGCTATATCTTCTTCTTCTTCTTTTTTTCTCTATCTACCAAAATCTAGAAAAAAAAAATCAATGCAAAAAATAATAATAATAATAAAAATAAAAAATCTTCCCTATAATTTTTTTTTTTTTTGCTAAGCTTATAAATTTTCTTTAAAATTTATAAATTAATTTTTATGAACGTTCAAGATAAGTTATTTATTTTAAAAGTGTTCATTTCCTTTATATTTAAGAATAGCGTAACAATTCATCGTCTTAATTTATAAATTAATTTTTATGAAAGATAAAAATAAGTTATTTATTTTAAAAGTGTTCATTTCATTTAATATTTAAGAGTAGCGTAACAATTTATTGCCTATGACCTCATAATTCTGAGAATAGGCCCTGAGAATACATGTCTGTGGAAATGTTGACAACACTAACTCGACTTGAAAGGGAAATATCATTTATTGCAAGGATTTTTCCCCTTGTACAGGGGAGACTGCCAATGGCAATTTCGCAACCCATGGTTGGCAGTTTTTTCCCCCTCAACTGTCAAGTGTATATCTGTAAAAACCTTGACAAAAATCTCACGTACACCAAGCCGGGTCCTCATTGTAAACTGATTTTGTTTATCAATCAAAAGATGAAATCTATCCTAATATGACAACAACAAAGTAAGTTTAGAGTAGTTTATGTGAACTCTTTCCTTCGTTCCACACAGTTCATTGCTAAATGAGCATTATGCTAACCTCTTAAAAATCGTCTCTTTGATTTTATTTCATTTGAAGTAAAGTATTTACTCAAACACTGAAAGGATTTTGTAGTAGATTCTCATCTCACGTCAAGAAAAATGAGAAAGAAAATTTATTGCAAGAGAACGGTATGTTCTCGGTTTCATTTCAAACTAAGTCATCGTATGATTTTGCTAAAAATCATATTTTTAATAGATTTAGATAAAAGTTATGGATCTCATTATTGTGTGATTAAAATTAATGATTGACTTTGAATTATATTTTTATTCTTTTTTAACTAAACCAAAAAGGGCTAAGGCTCATAAATTTAAGGAAAATTAAATCAGCAGTCCCTGACCTTTTCAATTTTTGCAAATATTACCCTAACTTTCACTTTGTGACACCCACAGTCCCAAACCTTTCATAAATTCGCACATGAGGTCCAAACCATCCATTTGACCGTTAGTTGACCAAGAAATTTGACTTTGACCAAATTTAGACTATATTAAAGGATAAAATCATAATTTTGCATTTTATACATAAAATAAGTTTAAAAATTAAACTAAAAATCCAAAAAATATATAAACTCCCCTACCCAATCAAAACCGGAAAACCACACTGCCACCACCCACCACCGCATCAGCTCCTCCCCACAACCACCAGCCACCACTGGCCCACACTGCTACCACCGTGTCCACCTCGTCCATTCACAAATCTTGAAAATCACACTTGCCATGCTATTATTTTCTCCCTAAAAATAGAAGCTAACTCACTCATTACTCATCTCCGCAGCTATCGCAACCATCACAGAGAAATTCCTCTCAATCAAATTCCCATTCCCGGGCCTCTTTGACCTCGGCCCCATCGACATTGACCATGACACCTTCCGTAGAGGACTAATCGAGGCGAACTTTTTCGGTGTTAGGTCATTGTTATCTTCATCAACAGCGGCGAATGAGAAACTTCCTGTTAGGAATTTACTTAATCATGCACAGCGGAAATAAAACAATTTTCAATTTCCAAACGAGGATTTGCAATGTGTTTAGATAGAAACTGTGATGAGAATGATACCTTTGATGAATTTCACAAACTCTTTTGCTTTTTCTTGAACTCCAATGATCA